AATGCATATTAATTTGAATTAATTTGAATCCTGTTTGCTATTCAAAGTAGATGGAAATATAGTCCTAGAGAAAAGATGCAATTCAATTTGATTCATCTCAAAGGAACATAATACTAATAATGGCAAATAATATGACTATGTTTACCGAATGCTTTCCGTAAGCCATGCAGATTCTAAATGTGTATTCACTCAAAAGGGAGAAGACCACATTTGGTGACAAAGAAAGATACAGTGTAACTCATATTTAAGAATAACTAGCCTAATAATAAAAAAAAATGGACAAATATTGGCAAGGATTTGGAGAAATTAGAAACCTCATACATTGCTGTATGTATTGTATACCAAATAGCGCCAAACAGTTTGGTAGTTCCTCAAAAAGCTAAACACAGAGTTACCATATGACCAAGCAATACTACTCCTAGGTATATACCCAAAGGAATTAAAAACATAGTTTGCATAAAAACTTGTACACAAAATGTTCATAGCAGCATTATTCATAATAGCCAAAAAGTGGAAATGACCCAAATATCCATCAGCTGATGAATGGATAAACAAAATGTGGTATATACATACAATGAACTATTATTCAGCCATAAAAAGGAATGAAGTGTTGGTACACGCTACAATATAGATGAATCTTAAAAATGTTATGCAAAGGGAAAGAAACTAGACACAAAAGGCCACATATTGTGTGAATCCATTTATATGAAATGTCCAGAATAGGCAAATCCATAGAGACAGATCAGCGTCTCTGTTAGAGTAGATTAGTGGTTGCTAGGAGATAAGGAGAAAGGGGAATGAAAAGTGACTGCTTAAGGGGTACATGGTTTCTTTTGGGGTGATTAAAATGTTCTGGAATTTGAGAGTGGTGATGGTGTACAACCTTGTGAATACAGTAAAAATCTCTGAATTGTACACTTTAAAAGGGTGAATTGTATAGTAAGTTGTATCTTAATAAAAAAATTAATTATCCTTTAAAAAAAGAGAACATCACTTGAAATTTAAAAGCAAAATATGTCTTTATGGATAAGAAAGAGAGCCCATATGAGTCAAGGAAATATAAATATGACCTGATTGATGACAGGTGCAGAATACAGAGAATAGAAGCTAATTAAAGGGGCCATTGACAAATATGAAGAGTGTCTAGCACAACCAACGTAATGAGGAACTAGAAATACCTTATCATATGAGACATGGGGGTACCTGAGAAAGAGCCTGAAGGAGAGGCTTAGGACAGACTTGTTAGCATCTTTAAATCTTTGATGAAAGACCATTCTATTAAAGGGAGACAATGTATAATAAAAGTAGAATCAAGGGGTAATTACTCCTGAGAACAAAAGTAGAACCACAGAGTGTCGAGTTCTAGAGAACAGGGCAAGTTTTTTTAGCAAGTAGAACTATCTGCCACGCAGAGTTCTGAGCTCCTTATCCTTGAAAGCATTCAAAGAGAGATGGGTAATCTTGTTATTGAGGCATTCTTATGGTAGAAGGAATATTAGACTAAATAATCTAGGACATATCTCAAATTTATATGTAGCTTCTTTCTAAATAGTGCCAATTTGTCAGAAAAGCTGAAAAGGATTATCATTAGCAAATGAAATATTTCTTCACTAAAATGATATGTGGGAAATTGGGAGAAAGATCTGGGAAAGTATAAAGGTGAGCTATAGCCTAAGTGCGCTCTCCACACAAAATGAAATTGGATGGTGGAAAATGCCAGAGATGTCATAAAAGTGCTTATGCTGTTGTGAAGGGATATTTCATGAATGACTTTCAATCCAGAAGTTGACAGAGATGACACATATAATGAAAAACTATTTGCAAACCTAAAGTGATGAGCAAAGCTTACTGAAAAGCTGAAAGGGTGAAACATGGGAGATAGCAATGAAGGGATTCTCAGTTCAATTTTTGGTTTCAGGGCTGGCCTGGTGGCACAGCGGTTAAGTTCACACGTTCTGCTTCGGCGGCCCGGGGTTCACCGGTTTGGATCCCGGGTGCAGACGTGGTGCCACTTGGCAAGCCATGCTGTGGCAGGCGTCCCACATATAAAATAGAGGAACATGGGCATGGATGTTAGCTCAGGGCTAATCTTTCTCAAAAAAAAAATTGGGGGTTGCATTCAGCCCAGATTTGGTTGTAGCATATGGGCATGATCTTTAAATATGCTCAATAATACATCATTCATCTCTGACATTTCATACCAGTGAAGATTATCAAGATGTCACTGAGTCATTTTGGCCACAGTTGGGTCCCCTTTAGGGATCTTGATGGCCTATCATCATCATTAAGATACTGGATGTGTGTGTGTGTGTTGTCTCTCCAAGGCTCCACACTTGAGCAAGCCACTTGAAACTACAGAGATTGTCTTTACTGATACTATTGGTATAGTGAAGAAATTATTCGTATCTCGTCTCTTATTTCAAACACTTACGTGAGCAGGTTTCTCCCCAAATGTCAGCCACCTTCACTTGGCAGAGTGTTCTCATTGCCCATTTCTTCACTGCATTAGTGAGGACAGGTTAAATTTCTTTCTTTCTCCTGTTGGAGAAATAGTCCACGTTGGTTCTAGTCAGCAGGGCAGTTCCCCTCTACAAAATCATTTGGGAAGTCAGGCTTCTTCTGGGTGTGGCTCTATCGTCCCCTGGACCTTGTGCCCATTTGTATCCCACAGTGAAAGGGGAAGGACACGGAAGAGGATGTGTCACAGATTTTATCACTCCAGCTGCTAAGCAATAGTTTTCATTTGTTCCAGAAAAACCTGATTAGTTTATCAGACAAGTCAGCTCTGATGACTTCCTGCCATCGTGGAATGAAATTTCACAGCACATTGCCGAGTTTCGATAGTCATCTCTGTTCTCTGGTCTTACTGTGAGTACATATTTGGATGTCCTAGCACACAAAAGTTCTACAATTACATTCTTTTATTTTTGTTTTAAACTTTAATGAACCACTTCTTATCAACTGATCTATTTTCATGAGTGGCAACACGACAACAATGAAATGACATATTTAACAAGCAAAAGCAGTAACAAGCAAATGATGTGGAAGTGCCTTAGCCAAGAGGAATGGCATCCTGTTAAGTTGCATTTATTGAGACAAATTAAATGAGAAGACAACTTAAGAATATAACAGTTCGTCACAATGGTCAAGAGACTGTCAAGCAGTCAAATGGTCTGTAAGCAACAATGTGGTGGCACCTGCTAAGCAGGCTTGCCACATCTCCATAGATTTGGTCGATAAGAAGACCAAATAGAGTTAGACAGTTTATATTTACAGAGCAAAAGAAAGATCAGCATGGTACCAGTTCCCTGTGTCCCTAGTCTCACAGGATGACACCACCAGGAGGGGCTAGATGACAGATCACAGGAACTATTGGTCTCTCTGTTGGTGAGGATCAGGGCAGGGTCAGTGCTCACAGGAGACTGAGAGTGATTGCCTTCTTAAATTTTGCCCACTAGGTGCCTCGCTTGCTTACCTGCCATGTGGCAGGCCCATGTGGCATGGCAGCACTAGGTGCCATGCTTGGCCCTGCCATGTGGAGGAGCCAACTCTAAACTATCGTCAAGCAGTTTTATAGATTTACACAGAAGTTTGCAGCTGTACCTAAGATTGGGGCCGGGGCTCAAGGCAGAAAGTTCTGTGTTCAACTAAAACTAGGGAGATAAGTGAGAAATGACCTGTGGCTGACTCCTCCGCAGGAGAGATGAGAAACTGCCTCAAAACATCTTCACACCATGCTTATCTCCCCTTGCTCCAGGCGGAATTTCAGGTCATTCAGAGGTGTTAAGCCTTTCCTATATGGCCTTTGTGGAGATGTTCAAAGTTGCTAGGATGCCATGGAGCTGTTCCCCTAGAGACCAGTATCTGAAATAAGAAGACGAAGCTGAATGTATTGCTTCCTATAGTAAGGGTAAACTATGCTGGTCATGCACAGTCTCTCCAAGCAGAGCAGGCTGCCGATCTTACATTGAGATTTTGGGGCCGGTGGAGTTCACAAATTGGCAAATTTTCAGAGCCCTTAGAGATTGCTCTCACCTGTAAGAAGCTGGTGGTTGTTGATGGTGGACACTCAGAGACATGTGCCCTGGGCTGTCTTTGGTTGGTGGGCTATCGCAATGACGGCTGTCCTTGATAGGTTGTCCTTGATGGATTTGCTAGGTTCTGACTGCTGTTTGTTTTCAGGGCTTCAAGGTACTTGGTACTTTCCTAGAAGTCGGAAGCTCTTTTTATTTCCACGATGTAAAAGACTATCTATGAAAAGTCTTTAATCACTGCTAAAATTTATTTAACATCAGTGAACAAAATCACTCCATTGTTTTTATCCTCTGAAAATTCCAGACTGCCTTCTGACCCTTGATGGATGTGGAGACCACCAGAGGCCAATAACACCTGGAAAAACCCTGTCCCAGCCTGAACTTTTAGAGGGAATGGGGCTGGGCCTTATTTATCTTTAGTCTCCTACCTATCCTAGCATATAATAGGTACTCAATTCATGAATGAAACTTAGAAACTCAGAATCCTTAGGAATGGCAGAAGAAGAAAAAGATAGAAGGATTGGGCAGGCGAGACACTCATAGGTTTCACTAGGTACGTCTATTCTGTAAATATCTGGTTGATGTTAGTACCACAGCCATTCAGGTAAAATGCATGATGTCTGTATTTTATGTGTTCCAGGTGTGTGTCATATCACATAATTGTCAGGACCTAAGATGTCTGTCCCTGTTAAGAAGCATCATGAAGATGAAAACTGTAATGAGGACAGCCCCACCAACTTAGCGAACCTAGACCTTGTGCAGGGGAGCCAGCCCCCTGGGCCAGGCCGTTACAAACCTCGACTTGCTGGTAGTTCCACCCATTTTCCATCGTCCTCCCTGATCTACTTTGTGATGGGAGCCAATAAAGAGAAAGAGACCAACCACAAGGGTTTGAAGAGCGCGGGGCTAGGGTCCGGGGAAGGAGGAGGGCTGCGTCGGAGGATGGGCGGAGGTGCCCGGGAGCCGTGGGGCAGGGGGAGGCGGCGCCGGGCTCGCATTGGCTCAGCGGGCGCCCTCCCTCGCGGCACCGGTCCAGCGCGCCGAGAAAAGGGATATCGCCCCGTGGCGGCAGCCGGGCGCGAATTCGGCGAGGAAACATGGCTGAGTATACGCGGCTGCAGAACCGCCTGGCGCTGATCCGCCTCCGAAACCCCCCGGTCAACGCGATCAGGTAACGGGCTCGGTGGCCTCCAGCCCGGGGACGGCAGGGTCTTATCCACCTGCTGCCGTGGAGGCTTTGACTCCCCAGCCCCCTGCTTTAAATGGAGAGGGCACTAACGCGGGTTGAACAACGGCGTATACCAGGGCCTTTTACGGTGGCTGGTTTGGTAATGTTCGCAGAAAACTCTCATTCCCGCTTCACTGGTAAGAAACCGAGGCTGAGAGGCAGACAGAGGGCTACGAAGTGAGGGTGCTGGGCTTGGACCGGGTCTGACCGTGCCTTCCAACTTTGACTTCCCACGCGTACTTTCTGTTCCAAGGGTCTTAGTGCAATGCCTGTCTGGACCTTGATCCCTCACTTGCCAACTTGGAGTCCAGGCCACCCTTGCAATGTGTAACTAAAAGCTTTAGGAATCGGACAATAAAGTGACTTCAAGTTCTTAAAAATAAATTAAAGTCCCCATTAATGCCAACACAGTGAGTAAAGGAGAACTGTGTCCTGGCCCAGAAATGCAAAGTTGTGTCTCCTGGTCTGTTCTAAACCTCAGGGCCTTAGTGCTTCAGTGGAAGATCCGTGTCAGAGTAAGTCTATTGAATAGCTTTTTCTGAAAAACTGCTGTGCATTTTATCTTCTGTTTTATCGTAGAGTACCTTCCTTGTTAAATTCTCCAACCCAGATTTGTGAAATGCACTTACAGCATTACTTTTAAAAGTGAGATTAATGCTGCTTTTTTGAAAATTAATGAAGTTATTACATAGGTTTGGTTCTTCTGTATCTCCAAAAAAAGTATGGTGATACATCAGCCTAGGAGAGAGCCACCCCTCCGTAGGGAGTAGGATTAGCAGAAATTATAATTTACAAAGAATATGTAAAGTATAGAGAGAAAGACCTTTGGTCAAAATTCTTATTGCCTGCTGCTGGAGTGAAAAGAGATTGGAATGAGGAGACCTTCTAATTTTAACTAATTTTTGTCGTACTGTCATCAGATTTGATCATATCATTAGTATTAATATAATTCTTATTTTTGATATGAATTATTACATTTAATAATACAAAAATATGCAGGAGTAAAATCACACAAGGATGATATACTTGCCTACTTGCCACTCTCAGAAAAAAGCAAAATATCTATTATTTTGGTTTTGCCAAAGAAAAACATAAGTAATATGATTACATGTCAATTTTAGTCTTGTCTGTATTCTAATTAGAATTGCTAGATATTAGGACTCTCTGCCTCAGCCTCTGCTCACAATGGGAAACCGTGCCCATCAAGCCTTGGGGGGAAAAAAGGTCCACAGTCTAATACCCATAACTAGGAATATTTTTCTCATGAATATTTTAAATGTTTCTGGTATTTAACCTGCCCCCCTCCTCCCTGGAGAAATGTTAGTATCTACCTGATAAAGTTGTTGCAAGGTTTAAATGTGTTGGAGGGGAATGGGCGAAATGGCTGAAGGGGGTCAGCTGTATGGTGATGGATGGGAACTAGGCTTGTGGTGGTGAGCACTTTGCAGTGTATACAGATGTCGAATTATGAAGCTGTACACCTGAAACTTATACGGTAAAAATAAATAAATGAATGAATAAATAAATGTGTTGGAGGTTATAAACAGGCATTTAACAGGTGTTAGCTATCGTGATTTTTATTAGTCAGAGGCCTGTTACAAGCCCCTACCCGTAGGCCCTGCTGCTCAGGATTCATTTCAGCTTCATTAAGGTTTTCTCCACTTAGAAATAAATACTTTACTGCCCTTTTCCATCTGTCTTCTTCTGAACTTACATTTTAGGTAGAGGTATACATGCCAGCATGTTATCAAGTTTAACAGGTTCCCTTTTTTTATGCTTTATATTTTTCTTTACTTTTTCTTCCTTTTCTCCTTCCTATTTCTAATTTTATGTGGGAAATTATCTCTTCCTAGCTCACTGAGAGATTCTTATTTGAATACGTTTTGGCCCAAATAGTTTAAATCCTTCTTTGCTAGTTTAGCCAGCCATGTTTCCTTACATTCCAATGAATGCCAACCCTCTGTGAGTATAGACCATGCCTGATTACTAAGCCTGTCTCTCAGAACAATGGCTTTCACACTTTTTTTTTCCATAATCCACACAAAAGTCCCATGTTTTACATAGCAACCTAAGACACACACATACAAATATATAACTGAAACAAAGTTTTGTCAGACAAAACTTATCATATATGTTATGTAGTTTAATATATTCTGTTTTCTCTTCTGTTTTTCTTCTATTTGAAAAAAATGCTGGTCACAGCCACAAAGTTGATTTGACGACCTTTGGTTTAAAAAAGCCCTAAAAATAACAGACTTCCTACAATCACAAAAGCAAAAGAGTTTTGGTCAGCACTCATGGAATGTTATCTACTCCAGACTCGACTTCTCCGTACCTGCAATATTAAGGGGAGAAAATAATTTCTTGACCCCTGTGACCTTGACGTTTCTCCTAGGCTGTGGTCCCTTTCAGCCGGCGTGAATCTAGTAAAGCTGTATCTGTTACAGCCATCTTCATTTTTCTTTATTTCTCGTGTTTGATTTTGCAAAATTAAAAGAACATAAGAAATGAAAGAGTAGGGGTTGGTTGAAATGGGAAAAGCCAGCCTGTTTTTTTCAGTGGCACTGTTTGAGTTCATTTTGGCTAATTTTGCAGCCATCATTTACCCAGAAGGAAATATGTGCCTTTTGTTGTTTTTTTTGTTTTGTTTTGTTTTGTTTTTCTTTTTTTTTGTTTTTGTTTTTGTTTTTTTCCTCCCCAAAGCCCCAGTACATGGTTGTATACCCTGTGTAAGTTGTTCTGGTTCTTGGATGTGAGCTGCTGCCACAGCATGGCAACTGATGGACAGTGGTGTGGTTCTGCGACTGAGAAGCGAACCAGGCCACTGGAGCAGTGAGCACTGACCTTTAACCACCAGGCCATCAGGGCTGGCTCAAATATGTGCCTTTTGGACTTCTCAGTATTGTGGGTGGTTCACAATCTGTTTTTCATTAACGAATTTGGTTTCTAACCAATCAAAGGCAAGAGGTTTTGTTTGATTTCCTCTAGGTTAAATGGTGAAAAGTAATTAGGTGAAGGGGAATTATCATATACAAGGGCCACTATCTCCTTTATTCCCTGAGGGTTTAACTCACAGTTGCTGGTCTGAACAATATGGCTTTTGTAGAAGTTTGCTGTTGTTTTCAGATTTTTTTTTTCACTGTATACTAAAGAACAGACGTTTTACCCAAAATACTGAGAATTCTAAGGCAAAACTGATTGAACTCTGGTTCTATCATTTTTCTTTAAGCAATTTCTCACCGCTTTTCCTAGGTTCTCCTCTTTCACCATCCTTCAGCACTTATTGAACCCCTGCTTCTTGACAAATTCTCTTCTCTTGGTCTTTGTGATTTGGGTTCCATTGGAGCTGAATCACTCTACTGAGCCTCTCCCATTTCCTAAATGAGGGTGTATCCAGAGCATCTACCCTCAGTGCTCTTTTCTTTGGCAGACTCATTCAATCTTGGCTTTAACTATCTCCTCTGTGGATGACTCCCTTATCTACTGAAACTTGGCAAAATCTACTACATGCCCTTTCTCACCCAGACCTTGCCTTCACCTCCCAAATTAGTTAGGACTAGCTTTATATGCCAGTGACAGAACACTCAAAATAATAGTAGATTAAACAAGAAAACATTGATTTCTGTCACAGCAGTGTCCTGGAATGGTATGGCTACTCCACAATCATCAGGGACCCCAATTCCATATCTTTTGCTCTGCCATTCTCAATACACGACTTGCACCTCTTGGTCCATAATGGCTGCTCCTGATGTAGTCATCACATCTGCCTTCCTGCCAGAGTAGAGAGGAAAGAAAAAGAGAAATTATACCCAATCCTATAAGGACTGTTCCCAAAAGTTGCACATACTAAATCTACTTCCATCCCATCGTCCAGAACTTAATGCCGCGGCTGATCTTACTGCAAACCAGGCTGAGAAGTGTAGTCTTTATTTTGGGCAGCCAGGTGTCCAGCTAAATCCCAGCTGTTTAATACTTTGAAGAAGGTGGAGGAGGGGTGGCTATTGGACATAACTTACAGCCTCTGCCACATCTCTTAGACTGTTTCTTTTAGATTGTTTCGTTTTCTTATTTGCTAATATAACAAATTGATTTTCCCTCTCTGAACTTCCACATCACTTTCTTTGTACCTTTATTACAAGTAGCGCTTATCTTAGAAGGACACTTTGTTCTTCTTAGAATGTTTTAAACTCCTTGCACTGCACACAGAAGCTGTATAATAATTTTAAAATTGATTAGTGCTGAATCTAAGTGGTCAAAGTTACAGCAGAGTGCAGGAAAATAATATTTAAAAACAATTTTCATTTAATCAGCCAGTGCTTAATTCACAGTAGACACATATATTATTTTGTTGAAGAAATTAGTGAAAGCTTAATGATAAGTATCTAGGGTTTTTACCCATCATGTATGTGTTTAAGTTTTCATTGCTAGAAGGGAAATTTAATTCTGACTAATGCTCCATCTAGTTTTTTCCTTATAGTGTGGCTGTACTCCGTGGAATACAAGAGGGACTACGGAAAGCTCTAACAGACCATACAGTAAAAGCCATTGTGCTTTGTGGAGCAGGTGGCTATTTCTCTGCAGGTAACCAGTGTCTGACCCTCTCCCACTCTCTCTGGAATCCACAGACAGATTGATAGTGCATTAGCTGTCCCTGAGTATAATACCAGACTGTGGGTGATGGATATGGGAGACTTGGATGGGAATGAGAAACATTGTGGAGAAAGAGACAGGAGTCACAGGAGAAACCCAGAGAAGGTTCTGACCTCCCTCTCTTTCCTATGGGATTGGGCCTTTGGAGGACATTTAGTTTCAGGCTTGATGGCTATGACACCTGCTAGGATACACCTACTGGTACATACCTGCTCTGCATATGTCTCCACCTATGTGAGCTTGGGCAAGTCCCTTTAACCTCCTGAATCTTAATTTCCGTCTATATAAAGAAGATAGAATAATTTCTATCTTAATGGGTTTTTGTGAGATTAAATGAGACAACATATCTGGAAGCCCCTAGTACAGTGCCTGTGTGCAGAAGATGTTCAATAAGTGTTATTTTTTAATTTCACACGGGGTCTTGAAATGGAATTCACTTTTCTTCTGGTAGTTACCCATCTCAGTGACCATGGCACTCTTTATTGGGTTATTGTGTGAAAACGTAAAAATATTGACAAAATATGGCAAAAGTATCTGAAAATGGTGATTTATTCAGTCGTATTTGTGCCGCCTTTTCCTTTTTTCCCAAATGAATATGTTATACTTTTTGAAGAAAGTCACATCGATATGAGGGCCTATATATTCTTACTGTAGCCAGAGGAATTTAATGTATGTTAATGGTAGCCTGAGAAGAAATAGATATTGGAATAATGACAATAAATAAGTATAATAAATAAGTATAAAAATGTTAATCATTATATTTATCTTGCCTGCTATGTACAAGTACTGTGTAGGTGGTTTATTTATTAATAATGAAAATGATAGTAGTTTTATACAAATTCTGTTTTAATCCTTGGTAAACCCTACAATCTCCATTTACAGATGAGAAGGCTGAGCCTGAGAGTGATTAAAATAATGTGCCAAACATTAACCAGCTATTAAATGGCTTATTCACTGTTTGAAAACCTAAGGTTGGGAGCCCAAGGTGGTATCTTTGAGGCATGAAGAGAGAGATCAGAATTATGGAGAACTTCATATTTCTTTGTAAGAAAGGAGGTAGGAGAGAAGGAAGTTAGAGTTCAGGGGCAGAAAAAATTATTTTCCTAGAAAAGCATTAGGGATTATCAGACTTGACTTAATGGACTTACATAGAACAGTGGACCCAACAATTGGAAAATATATATTCTTCTCAAATCTGCAACATTTACAAAAGTTGACCAGATCCTGGAACATGAAAGCTTGTCTCAATAAATTTCATTTAGAGTATGTTCTCTGACGACAATCCAGTTAAACTGCATATGTATATATATATATATATATATATATATATATATATATATATATAACATATATAACTTGAGGGATACATCTAAAGCAAAACTTGGCAGGAAATTTATAACCTTAAAGGTATATATCAGAGAAGAAAAAACACTGAAACATAATGAGCTAAGCATCTGTATCAAGGAATTAACAAAACATACAGTAAAATAGACCCAAACGAAGTAAAAGGAAGGAGATACTGGGAGAAATTAATAAGATGGAAAACAAATATGAAGCAAAAACAATGTCAAAAGTTAGTTCTTTGAAAGACTAATAAAATTGACACCTTTGGAAAGATTGATCAAGAAAGAAAGAGAAGGCACAAACAAATGTATGTGAGGACTAACGAAAGGGATATGACTGCAGATGCTATGGCCATTTAAAAAGATAATGAAGATATTATGAACAAGTAGAAAAATTTAGCCTATCAAAGTTGACTCAAAAAGAAACAGAAAACCATTAAAGAAATTGAATCAGTAATTAAAAGAAAATCTCAGAAAGTAAATTCCAGTCCCAGATGACTTCACTGGCAAGCTCTAACTGAAAAGTCAAGCAAAATATTATTCTAATTTTACACAAACGTTTTAGAGAATAAAAAAGAGGGAACACTTCCTGTATTCGTTTCCTGGGGCTGCTGTAACACATGACCACAAACGGGCTGACTTAAAACCACAGATATTTATTCTCTCCCAGTTCTAGAGGCTGGAAGTTCGAAATCCAGATATCTGAAGGTCATTCTTCCTCCAAAGGCTCTGGAGAAGAATCCTTCCTTGCCCCTTCTAGCTTCTGTGGTTGCTGGCAATCCTTGGCATCCCTTGGCTTTTTGCTGCATCACTCCCGTCTCTGCCTGAGTCTTCCAGTGGCCTTCTCCCCTGATCTTATATAGATCTTACATAGATCTTACATAGATCTTATATAGATCCACCCTCATCCAGTATGACCTCATCTTTACCTGATTACATGTGCAAAGACCCTATTTCCAAATAAGGTTGTATGTATAGGTTCCGAGTGGACACCATTCAACCCAGTCCACTTCCCAACTCATTTTGTGAAGCTAACATAACCTTCATACCAACTCCTACCTGTCAAGGATGGTGTGAAAAAGCAAAATTACAGGCCAGTTTCATTCATAAACATAGATATAAAAATCTCAAACAGTATATTATAAAATTGAATCTAACAATAATTAAAAAGTATAATACATCACTTTTATCCCAGAAATACCAGATTGGTTAAACATTAGAACATCAAAGGTAACTCATCCTATTAAACAATTAAAGGAGAAAAATCATATGATTATTCCAAGAGATGCAGAAAAACACTTGATAACATTTGACACACATTAAAGATAAAAATTTTTAGTACATTAGGTACAGGAAGGAAATGTCTTAATCAAGCAGAAGATATCTATTTTTAAAAACCTCCAGCAGGGGCCAGCACCATGGCATAGTGGTTAAGTTTGGTGTGCTCTGCTTCAGTGGCCCAGGTTCACCCATTCAGATCCTGGGCATGGACGTACACCACTTGACAGCCATGCTATGGCCGTGACCCACATACAAAATGAAGGAAAGCAAAACAAGAGGAAGATTGGCAACAGATGTTAGCTCAGGACTAATCTTCCTCAAATCAAAACAAACCTACAGCAAACATCAAACAAAATGGTAAATTAAAAGCTTTCCTTATGGGAAAGGAGCAAGACAAGGCTGCCTGCTGTCACCATTTGTATTTGACATCGTATTCTAGGCCCTGGCCAGCCCAGTAAAACTAGAAAAAGAAATAAAAGGTATAAGGATTGGAAAGGAGGAAACAAAACTTCATTATTCAGAAGATATGAGTGTTCGTAGAAAAATCAAGATAGAAAATTGTTAGAATTAACAAGAGGATTTTGCAATTTTTCTGGATATAAAATCTATATCCAAAAATTATTTGCATTTCTATATGCCAGAAATAAAGTTAAAAATGAAATCTGAATACCTTTGTCTGTGCCTTGGTTTCTGTAAAATTGAGATAATAGTAATATGTTGAGAGTAGAAGAATGTAGTATAACGTTTAAGACTGTGGGCTGCACAGTCAAACTGCCTGAGTTCAAATCCTTATTCTACCAGTTGCTAGTCATATGTCTGATCTAGTCACTTAACATGTCAAAGCCTTAACTTTCTTACCTGTAAAATGGGGATTGTTATATTACTTAACCTAGGTGTTAAGAAAATTAAATGAGACAGTGAATGAAACTACTTAGCATAGTACCTGATGTATTTATCCAATAAATGTTAATTGCTATTATTACATGAAAAATTATTGTAATCTAAAGTTATGGGAAAGATAGACCTGAGATTCAGACTGAAATTCATCTTGTTTTTTCTAGAACCAAAAGGAATCTAAAAAATAAATAACTCTATACTGGAGGGTGAAACATGATAGATTGGTGAGAAAAAAAGCATAATCCCTGGATTGATGCTAGAAGAGGAGCAGGTAGCAAAAAGAAAAAAAAGAAAAACAACAAAAGATGAGTAGATTGAACATGAAAAAATTACTTTAACTTTTTAACTTGTACCAAGCTTAATGTTTTCAAAGAATAGATAATGCTATGGGGAAAAACTCACTACATATAATGTTATGTGAAAAAAGGGAAATATAAAAACTGATTTTACAGAATGCTCTCAATATTGTTAAAAGTATATCTTATAGTGAACTTTCATTTAATTCTCCCGTCAGTCATTTAAGATAGGTATTGAGACAAAAAGGTTAAATAACTTACTCAAGATCACAAAGCAATTTACATTTATCTATTGGGAAAAAAACTAAGAATTCATGAAAATGTTACATTGTTATCTCTGTGTGGTGATATTTGGGGTGATCTTTATGTTTTTTATAATTTTGTGTGTTTTTCAAATTTTCATAATGCATATGTTATTTTTATAATTAGGAAAAGCAATAAATATTGTTACTTTTATTGCTCACAGAAAGTCTCTCACCAAAACATAATTCTAAGCTGGTTGAGTAACACCTAACTCAAAAATATGGATGAACTTTATCCTGAGATTTTATATTGTAATGACTCATGCACTTAACAAAACTGTGGATCTAGATTTCTGAGAATAGGGTTGGTGAGCAGCATCATGCAAAGAATGAGAGGGGCTGACTCAATCTCAGAATTTCTATTCCCCTTCTCTGAGCTTTTTAATTTTTCTAAAGGTAGAGTTGCTGTCTATCATAGGGAAAGACAGATTTTAGAAGATTACAGGATTCCTGGTAAAGATTTTTTTTGAGGATTTTCTCTCATATCGTTCTACATTTTCCAGGCTGTTTTTCCTTTACTGTGTCTCCAGCCAAAGGATGAAGTGTTTCATGGGCCCAAACAGACTCCCTAAGGGTTTTCTGGTACTTTATTATTATGTAACCAAGGCCAGGTCTTTTCTCAATTCTCTTTTTCCCTTGTCTTTGTGTCCTTAGGTTTTGATATCCGTGGCTTCAGTGCTCCTAGGATCTCTGACTTCACACTGGGAAGTTTAGTAGATGAATTACAGAGAAACAACAAGCCCGTGGTGGCCGCTATCCAAGGCTTTGCTTTAGGAGGGGGACTAGAGCTGGCCCTGGGCTGTCACTATAGGATTGCCCATGCAAAGGTAATAGCTGAGGCTCCCTATGGGGCTCGGTATGGGGAGCTTTTCTTTAGGGAAAACTCTAAATACAGTCATAAGCATCAGAGGTGGTAATTTTAAATGCGTAGCTTACTAGTTGACTACTCAGGTATTTCTAGCACTGGTGTTCAGCTGTTATGTACCAGTACAGTAGTACTGGTGGTTGAAATGTTGAAATACGTCCATTCTGGTTGTAAATAACTGCTACCCTGAGCCCCTGACTGTCCTTTTGCTTCCCCTAACCCTAACTGTTGGGCCTCTCCATAATCCGCCAGCTAAAGGGAAACTCCTGGGTCAGCAGAGGGTCCCCAGGACTCTGCTCCAGTAACTGTGGCTCATGTTAGGTTCCACTGAGGCAAGCTCATGCAGTAAAAGGTATTAAATATTTTAACTATCACCCCTGAGTATGCAGACTTATTTAAATTTTCATTTCCTATTTCAAACACTTCAGTTTTGTGGTCCCTTATAATTATCAGTACCTAAGAAGACAAGTTTCTGTTGGAAAACAGCGCAAAACTAGTAAATGTATTTCTTTCTGGAAATAAATTTATTTGGGCTAATAGGCACATAGAATGAAGTCTGTGATACCCCAGTCTTCTAATGGTAACATTTTTGTAAGTAATATATTTTTCTAATTACAAAGATACTAGTCCTCATTGTAATCAGACTGGAAAATGCAGGAAAGTATAAAGATGTAAACTAAAATCACCATAAACTTACAGTTCAGAAATCACCACTATTAACATTCTATTTTATTTCCTTCTGATCTTTTTCCCATGAAAGTTTTCTTCTTGCAGTTTTTTCCCTTTGCAATCTTATTTTGAAAAACTACATTTGAAATTTTGTTGTATTTCATTTACTTTATTTTTCATACTAATGTCATATTTAACCTATTATTAAATATTCTTTATCCATTCTGCCAATCTCTGCCTTTTAGAGAGTTTAATCTCTTTATATTTAATGTAATTACTGATAAGGAAGGACTTCTGCCATTTTGCTATTTGTTTTCTATGTCTTATGTGTTTTTTTGTTTCTCCATTAATGCTTTCATTTGTATTAAATACATATTTTCTAGTCCCCTTTTAATTCTCTTGTTTCCTTTACTATATATTTTTGAGTTATTTTCTTAGTGGTGGTTGCCCTTCGGATTACAATTAACGTCTTAATTTATAACAATCTACTTCAGGTTAATGTCAACTTAATTTCAATAGTATACAGAAAATTCATCCCCATACAGTTCTGTTACCCACTTCCTTTATTGTCACAAATTATATCATTACACGCTGTATGTCCATCAACATAGATTTATAATTATTGCTTAATGAAGTGGTCTTTTAAATCAGATAACAAAGAAGAATTATAAAGAAAAAATTACATTAATACAGTCTTCTATATTTACCTATTTAGTTGCCGTGTACTATTGTTTTTTATTCCTTCATGTGGATTTGAGTTGCAGCCCTTTCATTTCAGCACGAACGATCTCTCTTAGGGCAGATCTGCTAGCAACAAATTCAGTTTTTGTTTATCTGGGAATGTCTTAATTTGCTTTCATTTTAAAAGGCTAGTTTTGCTGGATGTAGAGTTTTTGTTTGACAATTTTTTTTCTTTCAGTCCTTTGAATATGTCATCCTACTGCTTTCTGGCCTCTGTGGTTTCTGATGAGAAATTTGCTGTTAATATTATTGTAAATATTCTTTAAAAATATCATTTTAAATGGCTGCATAATTTTCTGTCTTATAAATATACCATAATAATTTTAACCATTTCCCTATTTAGTTTTAATTTTTATACAAGCTTATAAATAAAGACATATATCGTAAGCGCTCCTTTTTTTGTGTCCCTCTTACCATGACCTTTTGCACACTGAGTGCAGATTTAAATTACAAGTAATAATAATTCTGGAGGTGGGGATGAACAGTGGTGGAAAATATGGTGATTGACTGTTAGGAAATCCTCCTGTGAGAAAGGCTCAAATATTCCAGGTATTTTGGAGCTGTTGGTGTCACAGTCTGGGTAAATGGCAATCTGTATTTAAGTACCATCCTCTTCCCATCCACATACCTGTAAAATGACTTAACAGAGCTTTAGACACTTTTAAATGGCCAGGAGAGGCGCGCGATAAAGGACTTAAGCTCACCCTCTTGTCTAGACTGAGGTTGCTGTCTGACTTTCCTTTTTTTTTTTGAGGAAGATTAGCCCTGAGCTAACTACTGCCAATCCTCCTCTTTTTGCTGAGGAAGACTGGCCTTGAGCTAACATCCATGCCCGTCTTCCTCTACTTTATATGTGGGACGCCTACCACAGCATGGCTTTTTGCCAAGCAATGCCATGTCCGCACCTGGGATCCAAACCAGTGAACGCCGAGCCACCAAGAAGCAGAATGTGCGAACTTAACCGCTGAGCCACTGGGCCAGCCCCATTCTTTTTTTTTTTAATAGCAGCTTTATTGAGGTATAAATCATATACCATACATTTCACTCATTTAAAGTGTACAACCCAATGGTATATTAGTATATTTACAGAGTCATGTAACCATTACTACAGTTGATTTTAGGAGACTTTATCATCCCAAAATGAAACTTCGTACCCTTTAGGAATAATCCTCCATCTCTCCTCTCCCCTAATCCTAGGCAACCACTCTCTGTCTCTATGGATTTGCCTATTCTGGCCATTTCATTTAAATGGAATCATACAATATTTTATCTTTTATGACTGGCTTCTTTCACTTAGCATAATGTTTTCAAGGTTCACCATTCACCCATGTTTTAGAATGTATCAGTACTTTTTTTCTATAGCTGAATGATGTTCCCTTGTATGGATATGCCACATTTTATTTATCCAGTCATCGGTTGATGGACATTTGGGTTGTTTTTCCTTTCTTAGCTTTTGTGAACAATGACACTATGAAAATTTGTGCACAAGTTTTGTTGTGGGCCTGTGTTTTCATTTCTCTTGGTTGTATACCCAGGAGTGGAATTGCTGGGTCATATAGTAACTCTATGTTTAACCTTTGAGGAATTGCCAAATTGTTTTCCAAAGTGGCTCCACCATTTTACATTCCCACTAACAATGTTTGAGGGTTTTGTATTTTCCACATCCTCTCTAACATTTGTTATTGTCTGTCTTTTTTATCATAGCCACCCTAGTGGATGTGAAGTGGTATCTTGTTATGGTTTTAATTTGCATTTCCCTGATGGCTAATGATATTGATTATCTTTTCATATGCTTTTTTGGCCATTTGTATCTCTTTGCAGAAATATCTATTCAGATCCTTTGCCATTTTTTATTGGATTATTTGTCTTTTTATTATTGAGTTATAAAAATTCTTTGTATATTCTAGATATACGATTAGCAAATATTCTCTTCCATTTTATGGGTTGTCTTTTTACTTTCTTGGCTGCCTGGCTCTTTCAGGGTTCTGTAAAGCTGTTCCTGGACACTCTTATTTTTGTTGGCTGAGACAGGTCATAATAGAGTCAGAGAAAAAATATGTAAGAAGCTAGAGATGTGTTTCAACCTGAAGACTTAGGGACAGCACGGCTTTGTTTGAGTTGTTAATTAAAGGAGAGGGTCGGCGCTAATTAGCCTGATGGAAACTGTTACTAAATTCCATAAAACAATGTTTTTGAGAGTGTGGGAAATCCAGGGGAATGCTTGCCTTGACTCTGAACATATCATCTCATTTTAATGACCTTTATACCTTCAACCTTTGATAGGCTCAAGTGGGCTTACCGGAAGTCTCACTGGGACTCCTTCCCGGTGGTAGAGGAACCCAGCTTCTCCCCAGACTCATTGGAGTTCCCGCTGCACTTGACTTAATTACCTCAGGTCAGTACAAACCCTGCCAACAGCTGTCTAGATCAGTGTGAGGAACTGGACTAGATTTAGAAAAATCCTGGTTTGACTACTCCTTACGCATGGAATCTTCAGAGGATAGTTTAACTTCTTTGACTTTCAATTTTCTCAGCTGTAACATGGAAAGAATACCTTCTCCGAGAGCTTCCCAAACGTTCCCAGGAAGATCAAATATGAGTGCTGTCTAAATGAAAGTGTATACAAAGCACAAATCACATTTAGGATTTTATTATAGTTCACATGTCTATTCATAGACACTGGTCTTCGCATAGAATGCATTATATTCAGATCCAATTTAGAAATTGTGATATAAACAAGAATTAAAACCAGAATTTCCGAGGAACGTTTTCAAGTTTTAGTGTGGAAATAGCTGTATTTTTCATTTCCAATGTATTAAGATATTAGCTACAAATAGAAGTTGTTCTGTTTCAATAGGGAATGTGAACAGGAGAACGATAGATAACATTTAGAGGCCCTGAATTTGCCAAATGCTGTAAGATGACATATAAAGAGATTTCCAGTTGGTAAGATTGGAAGAAAGAACATATTACAACTATTTACTCCAAACAGGTATAAACAATTATGAGACCTTGGATCAGTCACCTTACCTTTTGTGCCTTAATTTCCTCATAAATGTGGATAATAATAGTACCTACCAGATGCTTGTACAGTGTGGTAAAGTTAATAAGTGGATACATACAATATGCTCAGAACAGTCCCAAACATGGTAATAACTCCATAAGCGTTAGCTATGTAGTATTATTCCCATATCTGTCTTCTTTGTAAAGAGGAAGATTGAGTAAAAATAAGATGAAGATCTTGGTAACAGAATATATCCTGAAGAATGAACAATAAAAAGAGCACAAGCTTTAGAATCAAATACCTGAGTTTGAATCCCAGCTCTGCCACATTTAAACAATATGCCTGGTGCAAGTTAATTTTTGTTTATTCATCTGGCAACTATTGTTAATCTTCTCTCATATGCTGGGCCCTGTTCTAGGCATTGGGCTCATAGCCGTGAGCCAAACCCACAAAATACCCTGCCTTCATGGAGATTATATGGAGAAAACAACAGTGACAATAATCATCACTGTCATATTTCATCAGTTCAAAAATGCACAGTTTTTTCCACATCTTTGAAATCAGGATGCCTCTTATATTCATTGTGAGTCATGGTTTGATTGATTGCCAGTGTTTTTTCTTTCATAGTTTCTGTGAGTTGGGAATTTGGGAGGAGCTCAGTTGAGTTCTAGCTCAGGGTTTCTCATGAGGTTGCAGTCAAGACATCACCTGAGACGATAGTCATCTGAAAATTTGAGTGAGGCTGAAGGATCTACTTCTAAAATGGCTGACTTACATGGATGGCTAGTGGTACTGACTGGTGGCGGGAGGATTCATCACCTGTCCACAAGGACCTCCCCCTAGAGCTGCTTCACTGTCTTCACAACATGGTGGCTGGCTTCTTCTAGAGTGATCCAAAAGACGGCAAGGCAAAAGCTGCAATATCTTTTATGACCTAGCTTTGGAATCACACACCATCTTTCTGAACTATCCTATTGATGATACAGGTCTTCCCTATTCAACGTGGGAGGGGGCTTGAACTAAGAAGCTAAACCCGCTGGAGGTTGCTTTGGAGACCACCTACGACAACTGTATACTCACACATACGCCTCCCTATTATATAAGTAATATGTATAGTAGGTTAAATGGAGATCGGTGCTAAGAAGAAAACACAAATCAGAAGGGGGAGTATAAAGTGGTAGGGATGAGGGTGGGTACTATGTTAGGTAGGGTAGCCAGGAACGGCTTTCCTACAAAATAACATTTGAGTAAAGACCTGAAGGAGGTGAGGAATCTTATTATGCCAATATCTGGAGGAAGATATTCTACACAGAGAAAATAGCAAGTGCCAAGCCCTGAGGCAGGGGCAAACTTGGAAGGTTCGAAGAAAAGCAAGAAGGTCAATGTAGCTGGAGTGAAGTGAGTAAGAGGAAACGGAGTAGGGGATGAAGTCACATCACATAGGGCCTTGAAGATTATAGAAAGAACTTTGGCTTTTCTTCTGAATGAGGTAGAAAGGCATTGGAATATTTTGAGCAGAGGAGTAACATGCTGTCACTTAAGTTTTTTAAAAGATCACTCTGGCTGTTGAAAATATATTAATTAGAGGTAAGGGAAGAAATAGAAAGACTAGTTAGGAGGCTGCTATATAATAATTCAAGGGAGAGATGAGGGGAGCTTGGACCTGAGTGTTAGCAATGTAATTGGTAAGACATGGTCAAATTCTGGGTTTGTTTTGGAGGTAGAGCCAATAGGATTTTGTGACAGATCAGATGTGAAAGAAAGAGGAGAGTGAAGGATGATTCTAATGGCTTGAGCAGCTGGCAGGATGGTGCTATTACTGAGATGGGGAATCTCTGCTGGTAGAACAGGTTGTAGGGAGGGATCAAAAGAGCTCAGTTTTGGATGTGTTAATGATACTGAGCAATGGGCTGGCTCTGCTCACTGCGATCTGAGCCAATTAATCACAACAAGTTAGAGATCAAGAAAGGAAGTTTAATTAGATTAGTCGGCTAATTGGAAAATGGGTGACTAACATCTCAAAAACTCATTTTCAAGGATCAGAATCTTGAGGCAGTTATATAGGGAAAATAGGCAGTAAGGAGGGAGTTTCCTTCAAGTATGATGGACTCCAGGGTCTTTTATTGTTCTATTTTATTGTTTTATTCTTCTGTTAGCTGTCATGGATACCTTGTAGGCGTGTTTCCTGCCTGTGGTCAGCCTGTTTCTGGAGAGAAACTCATAGAACAAGGTTTTAATTTATCAAGCTATTCGGGAGTACGTACTTAAATGGAAGCAATAAATCAGGAGAGTGTGTGAATTTTTTAGAGTACGTGCAGAGCAGTGACTAGTCACACAGAGGAAGGGCAGGGGCTATTTAGCAAAACACGATGGCCTCACTTTTGCTCACTTACATTAAGTTTGAGAGGCCTATCAGACATCCAAGTGGAGATATCAAGTAGACAGTTGGATAGACTGGCCTGGAGTTAGGGAGAAAGGTCTTCTGAACTCCTCTCAGTCTCCATTTTCTCATCAGTAAAACAACCGCATAGTTGTTTTAAGGAATAATGAAATTACATGACAAGCTTCTGTCATATAGAAGACATTTTATAAATGGTAACTGTGGTAATGACCCCCCAAAGATGTCCCTGTTTTAATCTCCAGAACCTGTGAATATGTTACCTTAAATTCAATAGGGACTTTGCAGATATGGTTAAATTAAGGATCTTAAAATGGGAGATTATTCTGGATTTTCCAGGTGGGCCCAATTTATCACAAGGGTCCTTAGAAGAGGGAGGCAAGAGGTCAGAAAGGAGAGAAGATACTACGTGGCTGGCTTTGAAGAGGAAAAGGCCACAAGCCAAGAAATATAGGCAGCCCCTAGAGGCTGGAGAAGCCAAGGAAACAGATTCTCTCTTAGAGCCTCTAGAAGGAAGAATTCTACTGACCCATTTTAGACTTCTGACCTCTTAAACTAAGATAGTAAATGTGTGTTGTTTTGAGCTACTGTGTTTGTGGTAATTTGTCACAGCAGCCATAGGAAACTAATACAGTAACTATCCATAATGATGATATTAAGAATCTTGCATTGTGGTTTGGAAAAAAATATTTCCTGAGAAAGGATGCTAACAAAAATTGTTACTGAAAGTTGAAGATTCTCTGTTGATGTGAATGAGGAAAAAACACCAACGTTGTAGGAACTATCCCCATAGGAAATTAATAGGTAAATAGATTTAGATTAAATTAATAAGCAAATAGCTAACCTTTATTGATCGTCTGAAATCCGTAAGAGAGGAAATTATGGAGAGTGGAGTGATGACAACACCAACCACTGCTTCTCCACAATTCCCTTAAAGTGCTACCTGAAAATGACTGAATCTTTCCCAGTAACCACAAAAGATATGCTTGAGCACGTTGCAGTTCATTCCCTGATGTAGTCTGTGTAATCAAGGGACAAGAACCACAGTCCCCTGCTGCTCCTTCTGCTTGTATTTTCTAGGCCCTGTCCTCCTTGTTCACTGAACAGCACAGAATGTTTCTGCTCTATTCTTGCAGAGCTTTGTCCCAGCCCTGATGGGATTCTTTATGATCATTCCTGGGGCAGGAATGCCCTCGGGCTCTAGACTTTGGTGAGATGCCTCGTACCACCCAGAAGGCTGGGGGAGAAGTTGGGGGTCCCTCTTTATCCTGCCTGCCTTTCACATTTAGGTCCAGGTGGGTTTTCTCTATGTTAGTCGAACAAGATGTTGAGGGTGAGTTTTAGTACCCAGGGCTCCCAGGCAGCAATAATAAATATTTACCAAGTATCATTCCATGACCAAAATAAACAAACAAACAAAAATCTTAAAACTAAACCCAAGGGGCCAGCCCGGTGATGCAGCGGTTAAGGTTGCATGTTCCACTTCTTGGCGGCCCAGGGTTCGCCGGTTCACATCCCGGGTGCGGACATGGCACCGTTTGGCAAGCCATGCTGTGGCAGGTGTCCCACATATAAAGTAGAGGAAGATGGGCATGGATGTTAGCTCAGGGCCAGCGTTCCTCAGCAAAAAGAGGAGGATTGGCAGCAGTTAGCTCAGGGCTAATCTTCCTTAAAAAAAAAATTAAACTAAACCCAAAACCTAAAATCTGTGAAAATATTCTGTGATATAAGAAAAATGAAACATAAATATGAGTCTGCTGAAACAGATTAAAGAAAACAGAAATTTTAGAAAACTCACATTATTCTAAATTAGAAAAGAAAATATTTTACGTATTTTTAAAATAAGAATACCCTGTTTAAAATCAAAACATTAGCCAAATCCTTTCTTTTTGAAGCAACAAAAAGATGGCATGCTAGAAGAGAAGAAAACTGAATCAGTAACATGGAGGATAAATGGAGACGTATTTATAGAATTCAGGAGAATTTAACAAAAAGATACATAAAATGTAAACGAAGGCAGCAGAGGTGGAAAGTATATAATAGAGGTCTCTGCTGTGAGTAATAAGAGCTCCCAAAGCATGAAGCCGAAAGGTGAGAAGCAATAACCAAAGGAGAAAATAGAACAAACTCTTCAGATATGAAACAGAATCAGATTATATTTGAGCAAGCATACTATTTTCCTGGAAGAACTCGTGAGGAGATATCAATGCTCTGATGTATTTTGGTAAAGATTTTACTTTCAGGAAATAGAATGCTACAAGCTTCCAAAGGATAAAAACGAAACACAACTAAAGGTTACTTTCGAAATAACTAAAATCACTTCAGTCACAAATAAATTCTAAATGTATGGAAAGTTCATATAGAAGGATGCTATACAGTCTTTAAAATGATAGTCTAAATCAGGAGTTCTTAAACTGTGGTCCAGGTATTCCTGGGTGTGCCTAAGATCACTATAGGGGGAGTCAATGAAGTCAGAACTATTTTCATAAAATGGCATATTACTTGCCTTTTCCACTCGTTCTCTCACAAGTGTACAGTGTAATTTTCTAGAGGTTATTGTGTGCCATGTGATACCAGAACAGACCGAGTGCAGAAGCAGATATGAGAATCAGCTATCTTCTATTACTTGACATGAAAGAAATTTGCAAAAATATAAAACAATGATACTCATCTCTAAATTTTTAAAATTTTGAAAATATAGTTATTTTACATAAAAATGTATTTATGCTAACATGTAATAGGTTTATCATTGTTATCTTAAAGTGATTTAATAAAGAAAAATTTTTAAAGTTCTCAGTCTTAATTTATAATACAGTAAATATTGATAGGAATAATCCACATAAACAAAAGCTTTTTAGAGTCTTCCATAATTTTTAAGAGTGCAAAGAGTTCCTAAGATTAAAAAGTTTAAGAACTGTTAATTAAATTCACATTTTTGACACAGAAACTGCAATACAAAACTGTGTATACATGATCCAAATTAGAAAATAATCTGAGTCTATGTGCATAAAAAATGCTTTTTTTTTCTTTTGGGGAGCATGTTATAAATCCTATAAAGTAAGAAAAGGTAGTTAGAAAAACTAAAAGTAAGTTAACTTTCTTGTCTTCAATAAATAAAGTTAGCAATTGATTTAATTTACAATGATATGATAAGTACTCTTAAGAAGGTGAGCTGTTTTAAGTATCTAATGCAGAATTCATAAGAGGATGCTTACAATCCAACATACTACGTACAGAAATTCAAAGCACATGAGACAGTTCATTCTGCAAAAGATAAAATAGAAAGGAAGCAAAGAAGCATAAAACACAGGGGGAAATTATAATTGTGTGAAATGAGTCTGTAAATTCTGAGGTTTGCAAGAATTAAAGCATGTGGGGAAATACTGCGACATTTTGTGTCCCTGTTTTCAGCATTAAGTCTGAAAGGCAAAAGCATCTTGGGAGAAATCAGGAAGAAATCTGGCTTCTTTGACAAAAAGAAATGAAGTGAACTAGGATTGGCCTTTTCCAAAGCACTGCTGCTTATAGAAATATCACTATTTTTAACATGATGAAGAGAAGAGGTAAAAACTGTAAGAATATGATGGATTTTGATTTGCATAGAAAAGGTCACAGTCAATTAGGAGAAAGCTAACATTAGAATCATACACCTATCTTTTTAAGTAGTCTGTATAATTTTAGGGGGACTTTAAAATGACGTCTAGAAAGGGTTCCATGTAGAAAAATTTTTCTAAAGGTTGGAAAAGAAGCCATGAAGAAAATTGGAAAAAAATTGAGATTACTCAGCTTGGAGAAGAAGAGAAAGCTCAGCTTCATTTGCCCCCGGGGTCTCTAGGCATGGCTCTTATTAGAGTCTGTTGGACAGTGGTTGTCGTCTACACTGAGGGCAGCACAAGAAAAAACAAGTTTAAGTCTCAGCCTGAGGATTTGGCTTGGATGTACAGAGCCGTGTCTTTAGGTCCTTGAAACAGAATAAAAGTACCCGGCATCTCGTTGACTCTGTAAGAACACTAGTGGTACTCTTCCACTTTTGTGAAATCCAGGCCAGAAGAAATCATTACAGCTGAAGGAATTTTCAGTTCATCCTGTGGGTAGCTCGCGGTTCTTGCTCAGTTGCCCCAAAGATCTTTTTAGTACTCAGGTTTCCATCGTCCATTTTGTGTCCATTTGGTCCCCTAACCTGGGGAGGGTGATTCACTCACCCCTCACCCGTGATTTTATACACAGGAGACTTGACCTCTGAAGCCCCTCACCCACTCCCCACCGTCCTCACCCTGGGAGGAGATCTGGAAGCCTATTTTCAAAGGCACTTCCAGAAAACTGCCCAAATATTGCTGTTACAGAGTGACCCCTGCCAAAAAATCATTGAGCTGCTATCTGACCAAGAAAACTCATTTGTAGCTCTCTGAAGCACTAATAAGAACCAGGCGTGGAGGGTTTGTCTCAGAGATGGCATCCACCAACACAGTCCGTAAAAGCAGTGAAGACTGTGAAATTGTTGCCGCAAAGACTTGATTTAATGATCGCTTTTCAGAAGGCAAGATGGTACTGGCAAGGAAGCAAGTAATGTATTGTTGTCTCCTTCTGTCTGACCCTGTGGTAAAGGATGCTTATATCCCTTAACCCCCTACTTCAGAATATGCAGACCAAATTACATATTTATACCTGGTGAAGAACTCAGGAGTGATGCTCATCAAATGTCTGTAACCCCCTAGAGCTGCCGTTCTATACTGGAGGCCTCCAGTGCCGCCACTGGACGATAGATCCTCCTGGCAGCACTACTGGACGCTAGATGCTTCTGGCGCCGCCACCACCAGACACGAGATGTCTCCACCTGTGAAAGGAGATTTGAGCTGTTGCTGCTGCCTAGTGTCACGACTCCAGGCTAAAAACTCTCAATAGAGCACTCTGTTTGCCAAGCTTGGGGTCACGGGCCACGCCGTAGCTGCCACAGGTCTGCAGGAACAATTGTCTGATCATCTCTGCTTCTTTTTTAGCTTCTGTAGTAGGAGGCAGGGCTCCAAAGCACATGCAATAGCGATTCCACAAACTAGGGAGGGGTTGACATAATGGGTAGCCAAAAAATGGTAGAAATACGCCCCGTTTGTCCTGTGTAATTTTGGTTACAACTTACGTAATGTCAACTTAATCACTAATTTTCTCCCTGTCTACTCAACTATATTTATGTTTGAGGACTTTCTTTTTTTTTGTTTTTTTGGTAATCAATGATAGCCTCTGGTAAATGTTCTTATAAGATAGATATTACTGCTACTGTTACCACCTCTATTACTATTATCAAAACCCAGTCATCTCTTATATTTATATAGAGATTTATAATGTATAAAGTGCTTCTATAGAGATTTATAGAATATAAAGAAAATGTATTATTCTCACTTGATACTCAGAATTACTAAGGTAAGCATAATTATTGCTACTTACCATTGAGGAAATTGTGGTCCTGGTGCAGTTGCTCGTCACACAAACAGTAAAAGGTAGGGCTGGAGCGTGCATCCACGTTTTCCGGTTACCTCTGCAGTGATCTTTTTACTGCAACAGTCAGTGTGGTGCTGATTTATTTTGTTCAATAATAGGTGTTTATATCCAGGACAGATAATCTTCCCTACTAGAGAGAGTAATCCTTTTGCTTTAATCTCACATCCTTCCTTGACTTGTTTTGTTTTGTTTTGTTTCAGGAAGATGTATTTTGGCAGATGAAGCACTCAAGCTGGGTATTCTAGATGAAATTGTGAACTCAGACCCGGTTGAAGAAGCAATCAAATTAGCCCAGAGAGTTTCCGGTAAGAAGATAATAATAAAAACAGCACAAGATTGGAAAAGCTAAATGTCTGTTTTAATAAGGAACTCCTGAAATGGTTTATGGTACATCCATGCGATGGAATATGATACAGCTTTAAAATGTATGAGAAACTCTATGCATTGATATGTATGAATGCCACGATACCTTATTAAGTGAAAGAGCATCACTGTGTAGAGCGGTTTACTATTTGTGTAATAAGAAAGGGGGGATGGGATCGAATGTTTATATGGGGAGAATGTATATACATAGCTATTTGTCTATGTATAAGGCATTTCTGTAAGGAGCCGTGAGAAATGGTTACTGGTTGCCTCTGGGTGTGGGGCTGGTCAGCCAAGGAAGCAGTTGGAAGGAAGTTTTTATTGTGTACTCTTCGTTACCTTATGTATTTTCTATTAAGAAGTATAATTAAAATGAAAACAAACAAGCAAACAAACATTTCAGCAAGTAGAAGCTAGGCTCTATAATTTACCACAATAAAGCCGTTGTTCTGTTTCAGTGAGCTGTTTTTCACTGGTTTCTCACTGCATTGATTCGTGACATTTTTTTAAGAGTTCTTTGGAATGGTACTCCTGGAGTTTTTCTTTTCTTTTCTTTTTTTTTTTAAACTGATCCTTTTCAATTTATGGAGATTGGCAGCAAGATGGAGAGGGTTAAAGAGTGTCCGAAAAAATAATTGAGAGGAGTGACAGGGTACAGGTAGAGCAGAGTGTTCATCTCCCACGTGGTGGTAGGCAATGGTTCAGTGTCATTCAAAGGCATTCTTTTGAAATAGTCATTCTTTTGTTGATCCTGGCAGGGACCAAGCACTTCCCTGAAATAATCTTACTTTTTGTGGCTCTAGCCGGTTACTGTTTCAGTGCAATATTAAAAGCTTCAACTGGAGAGGCCAGGGATATGGGGAGAAAACCCTGGTGGCTTGTAAAGAGAATCAGCAAGCCTTTGCCCAAATGGGAATGAGTTTCCTGCTATGGTTCTCTGCCTTGCATACCATCTTCATCATGTTTTCATCACTGGTTTCGTGGTGCCTCCTGGGAGGGCTTGTTGTTAGAAGACACTTGGTTGGTAGACAGCAAAGGCTGTTTTTATTTGGAGGTCCCTAAGAGATCTTTTTGCTTTGGGGCTTAAGATAGACCCATATCTATCATTTATACCCATGGTTCTAGTTTGTAAAGAACTCAGTTTCAACAGAAAGTTCTTTTCCTTAACTGATTTCCCTAGATTTGTATTTGAGAGTTAAGTTACTAAAAGAGATACATGAGGATCATGGTCTAATACATTTATAAAATGGTCTGTTTTAATTTTTAAAATTTATTTAACTTTTAAAATAAATTTTAAATTAAAGTTTTAAATGTTTATTTTTTTAATTTATGAAAGCTATAAAATGGTCTATTCACTCTCAGCGACATTACACAGTTTGTCCACTTGGTGGCATCCAAATATTGGGGAGAAATCATCTGCTTTAAAACTTGGAAATTCACCTGTTAACAGTAAAGAAAGGGTTCCAGACTTTGGACAATTATGTATAACTATTTTAAATTATAATCATGAAGCCTATGTATAAATATGTAAAATTGTGTATAAAAATGTCTGAAATATAAATTTACATATATTCTATAATCATAGCTACATAGAGTATGTATGAATACAGCCAAAATTTTAAAGGAAATATGCAAAAATAAAAAGAAGTTAGATTTTTCCCCAAAACTTTATAAATGATCTTTGCTTTTGTTTTGATTTTTTCCAGCTTTATTGAGGTATAATTTACACACAATAAAATTCACTCATTTTAAGTGTAGAGTTTGATAAATTTTTGTAATTGTTTACAGTTGTGTAACTACTGTCACAATCAAGATATAGTTCTGTCACCCTAAACAGTATTTTCACGCCTCTTTCCAGTAGATTCCCTCTCTTGCCCCTTGGTCACAGTCACTGACTCGCTTTTTCTTACTATAGTTTTGTTTTTTTAAAGTTTCATATAGATGGAATCGCACATATAGTACGTAGTCTTTCGTGTTTGACTTCTTTCACTTAGCATTATGTTTTTGAGATTCATCCATGTTGTTTCATGTATTAATATTTCATTCTTTTTTATTATTGAATAGTACTCCATAGTATGGTTATACCCCAATTTGTTTATCCATTTCCCAGTCGATGAACATTTAGGTTGTTTCCACTTTGGGCCTACATAGTCTTTGTAGACATATTTCCCCTTACCTAAGAGTAGTATTGCTGGGTCATATAGTATGTGTAGGTGTAATTCTTAAGTGATTTTTAAACGATGATTAATGAAAAACCATCAGTGATTTGAAAGACGCTAATTTTTGCCAAGCAAATTGGAAAAGATAGAAAAATAATATGGTGAGATTGAGCTCCTATTACACTGCTTCCAGTACATCCTCTCTGAGGACAGCTGGGCAATTATGTCTGGAGGCTTATTCATACCTTTTGACTTAGTATTTCGATTTTTAGGAATTTCTCATACAGAAACAATCACAGAAGTACACAAAGATTTGTGTACAGTGACACACACTGAAGCTTTATTTATCGTTGTAAAATATTAGAAACAACTCAAATATCTAATTTTAGGAGATTCATTACATAAAAGATGATAGATCTCAATGAAGCAACCCCATTCAGTCACTAAAATTTCCTTTTTTAAGGGAAGTTGAAGAACCTGGAAAAATGCTTACATGTAATATTCACTTGAAAACAACCAGATAGGAAATTGCACAAATGTGCGTGTGTGCATGTGCCTGTGTGTGTCTTCAGATATATATTTGCATAAGGGAAAAAACTGTAAGGAGATATAACAAACTTTTAACAGTGGTTGTATTTGGGTGGTAGGTAATGAAGACTCTTGATTTTTTTTTTTTTTAAAGATTTTTTTTATTTTTTTCTTTTTTCTCCCCAAAGCCCCCTGGTACATAGTTGTGCATTCTTTGTTGTGGGTCCTTTTAGTTGTGGCATGTGGGACGCTGCCTCAGCGTGGTTTGATGAGCAGTGCCATGTCCGCGCCCAGGATACGAACCAACAAGACACTGGGCCGCCTGCAGCGGAGCGCGCGAACTTAACCACTCGGCCACGGGGCCAGCCCCCTCTTGATTTTTTAAAAAATGTTTCTCTTTTCCTAATATCTGAGTCATTACATTTGCCCAAAGGAAAAATGGGTGCCTGGCCAGTGTGAAGGGGTACCATCTGGTAGAGAAATGGGCTCAGGACTGGAAGTCAGGAGATCTGGATTATAGTCTTAACCTTAGCTATTATGGACCTTAACAAAGCAGCTTTTGGGGCTTTATTTTCTTCATCAATAATAGGAAAAGCTTCAACAAAATGAGTTGGTGTCAAACCCTGTCCTGAGACCCTACAGGCTTCAGAGGTGGGCCTTTGGTTTTTGGTCCTTGCTACGACCTGAGCAGCTCTGCTGTGTCTCTTGGGATTTAGGGCTTAGAATCCCCTGGAAAACTCGGAGACTTTTACTATTTTTTTTGTTTGCTTTTTTTTAATGAGTTCTACTCTTCAGAATCCTATGATTTCTTGGTGCTGCTTTGTAATAGATAAATGCTTGAGATACAAGGTAGAGAAATAGGGCAGATCAACCAAGAACTAGCTCAGAGACCCCACCTACATTTGCATTTATTATCTTACAAAAGGCATAGTTTAGGTAGGCTTATTTATTTTGCCTTTCATTTTCATTTGAGGTCTTGTGCTTTTCCTTTCTTTTTATGTTTCCCGTTTTCCTCTTCATTTTCTTTCATTGTTTGCTTTTATTTTTTTTAATTTTTTTTTTTTAAAGATTGGCACCTGGGCTAACAACTGTTGCCAATCTTCCTTGTTTTTTTTTTTTTAAGGATTGGCACCTGGGCTAACAACTGTTGCCAATCTTTTTTTTTTTTCCTGCTTTATCTTCCCAAACCCCCTCTGTACACAATTGTATATCTTAGTTGCAGGTCCTTCTAGTTGTGGGATGTGGGATGCCGCCTCAACGTGGCCTGACGAGCGGTGCCATGTCCGCCCCCGGGATCCGAACCCTGGGCCGCTGTAGCGGAGCTTGCGAACTTAACCACTCGGCCACCGAAGCTGGCCCCCATTGTTTGCTTTTAAATGTAGCTATTAGTATGTGGTTATTTGGCAGAAAAAAATGGATGGATTGATTTGAAGGACAGGTTCCACAAAAAGCTATTATAAAAATTTATATTTGCATTTTTATAATATATATTTATTATAAAATATATTTACATAATATTAAAATATATTAATATTAAATACACATACATTTTCAAATCTATGGTTATGTGAAGCTAGTACAATTGTCTTGATCTAGAGCAATGGTTCTCAAAGTTTACTGTGCATCAGAATCACTTGGAACATCTGTTAAAACATAGATTGTAGGACGCCACTCATTACTTTCTGATTCAGTACTTCTGGGGTGGGGCCCAAGAATTTGCATCTTTAACAAGTTCCTAGGTGATGCTGATGCTGTGTTCTGGGGACCACACTTTGAGAACTGCTGACTTACAGAGAACAAGGGTAAGAATAGAGATAACTTTTCCTAATTTTGAGCTTTTACACCTGGCATGCAAACACTACCTGCAATTTTAAAGATATTAGTAAATCAGTAATGAAAGGCAGGGTTAAAAAACATACATATATGGTTGCACACCTTGTGAATATTCTAAAAACCAATGAATTGTAAATTTTAAAATGGTGACTTCCATGGTATGTGAATTATATCTCAATTTTTAAAATATATGTAAAATATTTGTTTCCCTTTCCCATTTGTAAAAATATTCCATTAATTCAGCCTATTTCCACCCCTCTGCCTACCTCCACCTTCACTGCTGAAATGTTTACTTAAAAAAAAAATAACAGGGGCCTGCCTGGAGGCGCAGTGGTTAAGTTCGCACGTTCCACTTTGGCGACCCAGGGCTCGCTGGTTTGGATTCCCGGTGCGGACATGGCACCGCTTGGCAAGCCATGCTGTGGCAGGCATCCCACATATAAAGTATAGGAAGATGGGCACGGATATTAGCTCAGGGCCAGTCTTCCTCAAAAAAAGGGGAGGATTGGCGGTGGATGTTAGCTCAGGACTAGTCTTCCTCAAAAAAAAAAGGGAAAAATTAAGAACACTTAGTTTCCACATCCAATAGGAAAGGAGAAAAGGAAGGGAATTTCCAGTGGTCAGTGTTGCAATCGGTGGTTTTGGAACCAATTACGGGTGGGAGGGGATTGTAGGAGGTTAGCATGTATCTAAAAATGGGATTGGGGAAGTAGCAGCAAAATTTCTCTACAAATTTAACACGCATCCTGGAGAGTTGACTGTGAAAGTTAATTAGCTTCATGCATCTTAATGCTCGTTATATGATGCCTCTTAGACTACTGCAGTGCAATAGATTTAGCAGAGCAATTCAGAATTACTTGGCCAAACCAGATTGCTTTGGCTAAACTAAGGAGTGGAGGGTCCTGGAAAATGCTATTTACTCATAAGCTCTTGCATTTGGCCAGCAGCCTGCTTGTTCCCAAACTGAGCAAGAACTCCTTGTTCCCACGTGCATATTTCCAGCATAAAGCTCGAAGTACATGCTATTATTCAAAGATGAGCACAGGGGACACACAACTGGGAGCCTCAACTCAGGAGGCTCTGTTTTTGTCCAAGTTAATGGACATGGTCCCGTTCCTGTGACTGTGCTGGGCTGTGTTAGCCATTTTTAGCAATTCTAATTCTGCCTGAAGACCTTGATCTATTTGTTCATTTGGATTTTCTGGCTTAAGAAAAATCTTAGTGGTTTCATCTGTCTTTCTCTTCGTTTTATCTTTTGCTCTTTGTAATTTATTTTTACTCCCTGTGAACATTTATATAAACATCTTTCCCGAGAGCAGAGTGACCCTGCCTGACAAAGGAGCTGAGCGAGTGTCTACACTGAGCTTCCTTTCTACATCCTTCCCAGGTTCTGTGGGTGACCTCCCACGAGCCTAGAAAGGCGCACTTGTTCTGTCTGTCCTCTGCAGAGCTTCTGTGACAGACACAGCTTACCGTGGATTAGAATGCGAGAAGACAGGGTCCTTTAGGTCTCAGGAAACCGTTTCTGTAAACTGCACGTTGTGTCTCTCTCTATCCCAGGCAGAGAAAATCTCTTCCTGTCAGTGTACCAGAAAGGAAAGGGGGAAAATAATTACCTCCTTTTCTTCCTTTAGGAGCATGATTCACTTTTTTAAATCAAAACTTGAATATTCTTCTGCTTTAGAAAACCTCAAAGAATTAAGGAAAAAATGTGAATACGTCAAGGAAAGAATTCAATTATAAGCATATTTGAATCACTAATTAGTTCCTCCCCTCCCTGTTTTCCTGGGCAGCAAATGCTGATGCTGACCTGCCCACACTTGCCTCTCTTATTATGTAGGGACAGCTGAGTGACTTGAAAACTACCAAGTGTATAAGAAATACACTTTGAAAACACCGTACTTGTAGACCCAAAGGGGAAATTCTGAATATATTTTGTAGTAATAAAACGAAGTTGTAAGATAATAGCAGCCTTCAGTTACAGCTACAGCAAGAAAGGGATAAGCAATTGAGAAGGGAAAAACCACCTACGATTGTGCTCTGATCCAAAACTCGCCAGGGGATGTGCTTACCTTGGCGCTGGGCTGGGTAACTCCCAGAATACGCATCTGCAGGCTGAGATGTCCTGAGTATCACCAGGATAACAGGATTATGCTGATCAGCAATAATTACTGTACACTATTAAGCAAGCTTTGCTTTTTTTCCCTTCTCTTCCTTTTTTTTTTTTCTTTCTCTTCTCTTTTCAAACCCTGGGCCAGGGCAAAGTTGCCAGGAGCTACAGCTGTGCTTGATACAGTGGCTGACATAATACTCTGCTCTTGGACCTCCCAGAGGCTATACCTCAACATCAACTGTTGAATTTGTTAAAAATACTCGTGCCCAGGCCCCATGCTTAAAGGTTCTTAACTGAGTCCATGGTGGGGCATGGGTGTCTGAACTTTTTAATCTCCTCGGTTAACTCTGACATGTGCTATGGTGATGAGAATCAGCCCCTGTCATGGTGGGAATGGTGGTAGTGTCACAGGGACAGAGATCCAGCTGTAAGATATCCTAGACCTGTCTGTGTCCTGTCCCCACCTGGCATAGATTGCACAGCCTGCTGTTTATGCCACAGCATTGGCAGCTCGGCCCCCCTTCCTCATCCAATATGTCATGAATCAAACTGCTGTGAGTAGTCATACACACATTTTCTGTGTACATGTGTTTTCATTTCTCTTGGGTAGATTCCTAGGAGTGAAATTGCTGGGTTGAACAATAAGTTTATCTTTTTATCTTTTTAAGAAACTGCCAAACTGTTTCCCAAAGTGAATGTACTATTTTACATTTTTATAAGCAACATATGAGGGTTCCAGGTACTCCGCATCATCACCAACATTTAGTACTGGTGACTTTTTGGTTATAGTCATTCTAGTGGGTCTGTATTCGTTATCTATAGCTACATACCAAATTACCCCCAAACTTCGCTTTTTTAATTTATTTCTTAATCAAACATTTCTTATCTTACTGTTTCTGTGGGTCAGGAATCTAGGCGTGGTTAGCTAGGTCCTCTGGTTTAGGATTTCGCATGAGGCTACACTGAAGGTATGGCCTCAGTTCCTTGCTGGCTGTTGGCTGGAGGCCTCTTTCAATTCTTTGCCACATGGGCTTCACCAAAGGGAAGCTCACATGGCAGCTCATTTCCATCAGAGGGGGCAAGACCGAAGCCAGAGTATTCTCATAACTTAATTCAGAAATGGCATCCCGTCACTTAGAAGCTGCCTACCACGTTCATTGTGGTTTTAATACATTTCACTAATGACTCACGACGTTGAACATCTTTTCACATGTTTATTAGCCATTCTAATGAAATATTCTGGTGAAATATCCACTCAAGTTTTTGCCCATTTAAAAATTGGGTTGAGAGGAAGATGGGCACGGATGTTAGCTCAGGGCCAGTCTTCCTCAGCAAAAAGAAGAGGATTGGCAGCAGTTAGCTCAGGGCTAATCTTCCTCAAAAAATATTGGGTTGTTTGCCTTGTTATTCTTGAATCATAAGAGTTCTTTATATACTCTGGATACAAATACTTTATTGGATATTTGATTTGCAAATTGTATTCATTTTCTATTGCTTTGATAACAAATGACCGCAAGCTTAGGAGTTTAAACCACACAAATTTATTATCTTACATATCCGTAGGTCATAAGTCTGGTAGGGGTCTAACTGGACTAAAATCCAGGTGTCAGAAGCTGCCCTCCTTTCAGGAAAATCCCTTTCCTGCTCACTCGGGCTCTTGGCAGAATTCAGTACTTTGCCTTGCAGGACCAAGGTCCTCATGTTCTTGCTGGTTGTAAACCAAGGGTTGTTCTAGCTTCTAGAGGCCACTGAATTCCTTGGTTCTTGGCCCCCTTCCTCTGTCTTCAAAGCTACATTGTCAGCAACAGGTCGAATCTTTCCCATGTTGTATCTCTCTGACCCTTCTCATCAGATCTCTCTTTCAGCACAGCCAGGAAAGGCTCTCCTCTTTTAAAGACGCATGTGATTAGATTGGGCCCACCTGGAAAATATAGGGTACTCTCCATATCTCAAGGTCTCTAACTTTAATCATATCTGTATAGTCCCTTTGCCATGTAAGGTAATATACTCAGAAGTTCTGGGGATTAGGAAGTGGACATTTGGTGGTGGGAGTGTGGGGATGGGGGGCAGTATTATTCTGCCTACCATACAAATATTTTCTCCCAGTCTATGGCTTATCATTCATTTTCTTAATGGTGTTCTTTGAAGTACAAAAGTCTTTAATTTTGATGATGTCCAATTTATTGCTTTTTTTTCTTTCGTGGATCAAGCTAAGAGTACTTTGCCTAACACAAGTTCACAAAGATTTTTCCTCTTTTTTTCTAGAAATTTTTATAATTTTATCTCTTCAGTTTAGATTTGTGATCCATTTTGAGTTAATTTTTATATGTGGTGCTAGGTAATGATCTAAATTCACTTTTTTTGTATGTGGATATCTAGTCGTCTCAGCACCATTTGTTGAAAAGAACTTTCTTTTTTCTCATTGAATTGTTTTGGCACCTGTGTTGAAAATCAATTGGCCATAATTATAAGGATTTATTTATTTATTCTCAATTGTCTTCCATTGATTTGTGTGTCTATCCTTGTTTGAATATCACACTCTCTTCTTTTCTATGTATTCTTAAGTTTTTGTTACTGTTAGGAACAAAGTTAAGATTATTTTGAATCTAAAATATTATTAACTCAGAACTGTTTTCCTTAAACTCACTGACAGATTAATATTTGCTCTATTATAACATTGTCTTGACCTTGGAATAGAAGAAAAATGCAACTTTTATGCCTGAATTAGGTAACTTGAAACTGCTTTGAATCTATTAAATTCTATCTTATGAGACTAAGGTACAAAGATGTTAGGGATTTTGGTATTAGTGTTACATTAAATATCTTGATGAATAGTATTTTATTTTGTACTTTGAATTTTAACAGGTTATTGTTACTATTATTATTATATAGTCATATTCTCTTTGTATAAGTAACATTTCCAAAGATCTTATTTTCTTCTTTGTTGCTTTCAGATCAACCTCTGGAATCCCGTAGACTCTACAACAAGCCAGTTCAGAGCTTGCCCAACATGGACACCATTTTCAGTGAAGCCCTCTTGAAGATGCGGAAGCAGTACCCTGGGTGTCTTTCTCAGGAGACTTGTGTCCGTGCGGTCCAGGCTGCCGTCCAGTATCCCTATGAAGTGGGCATTAAGAAGGAAGAGGAGCTATTTATGTACCTTTTGGAATCAGGGCAGGCCAGAGCCCTGCAATATGCTTTCTTGGCTGAGAGGAATGCACGTAAGTGGTCAACTCCGTCTGGAGCATCCTGGAAAACAGCATCACCACGGCCCATCTCCTCAGCTGGCGTTGTCGGTAAGAACATGGGGTAGTTGTCATTCTCCAAATTTGCACATATAAAGTGCTACCATTTGCTTAGGGCCACCAGGTGCTAGGCCTTCTGCTAATCATATTACTTGTCTTAGCTGACTTAACTTTCATCCCAGCCCTTGAACTATCTTCATTTTACATGTGAGGCCTAGAGACACTAACCTTCTCAACAATGAACTAAATACAAGTGGTGTGAGGGTCCGATGCCAGGTCCGTCTGACTCCAGACTCTGGGCAATTTTTACGCATCCCTACCTCTTCCCTGTATGAATCTCTCACTCCTGGGTTTCCCAATAATGATTCTTATTTGTACCACCTTTCAAAGTGTGACCTGTCACTCTTGTAGCTAGGTATTTGGAATGAAAGCTCTGTCTTTCTGTCCTTGGATCCATTCACTTCTCCTGGTTCAAAACCACTGTCCTCAAATCCATGTGAACCTTGAGACGGTGGTTTCCCTACTTTTCCCCTCTGGAATTTTCCCAAACAAAATTTCCTTAGAAGCTAGTTGTCTGATTGGCTTCTTGGGGCCACTTTCCTAAGCTTCACGTGCTTTAGTCTTGGCCCAAGAATGGTCTTTGGTGGATTGTAAACCTCCTGAAATGGTAAGCAAAATCTTATATGTATCAGCTTATGTACAGTCTTCATCGGGGAGGAGATCCATAGTTTATGAAAAGCATCAACTTTCTTAACCCTCACCGGCTCTCTAGCACCAACCCACTTGGAGGCAAAGAGCCCCTTCTAATCTTCTCAGTCTGTTGGTTGTCTTGGTCAAGTTTGGGTGTAAAATAGTATGTCTTTAATATGAAGACACTGTGCTCCTTCTAGCACTGACTCTGTTTACTTGTGGTTTTTTAAGGAGGTGGATAAATAGTATGACAAAGAACAACGAGAGTTCCCTTTTTTATGCATTTTCAGCAACACCAGTATTAGTTTCTAGTTGTGTCCTTACCCGTTTCTTCTTCCCTACATTCCTTCAAGCCAAGAATAATTAATTCACAATAGCAGCAAAAGTGAAGTTTATCAGTATTATGTTTGTCAACCACTATTTGAGAGTTTCCCTGTTTTCTTGTTGTGAACCTTTTAAAAAGACTTCAGGTTTGTCTGGCATGGAATGTTTAAAAAGTTTGAAGGGTTTTTGTGTTAAAGTATATCCCACATTGTTTTGAAAAATATTTGAAAAAACATTTAAAATATGCAGAAGACAATGTGGATAAAACTAAAGAGAGAGAGTTTGGTCATCTTCGCCTTCTTCATGTTTATCCCCATAGCGCTCTGCACTTGATCTTTGTGACACAGTCTCCCACTGCGCCCTGTGCCCTCTAGGAGGTTCCCACAGCCTCACCTGCTTCACTGATGACTCCCTCCTCGCTCGTGCCTGAAATCTGGCTTACCCTGGCCACCCGCATCTCCTGAAGCCCTCTCAAGAGAATGCTACTGCTTCTCCCACACTCCATGGGCCTCAGTGTCACTTCCCAGTTCCTCTCTCAGCCCATTGTTCCTTTCAGGACACTCTCCTTTGCGATCCTGCCATCCATCTTATCACTCTATCCCTCCTCATTACTATCATTGCTCCCCCTCATTTTGCTGAAAATTTCGGTATCTGGCTTTCAGTTACCCACTTTGGCCCAAACCCTACTGCCATTTTGATTGTCTTCCTTGTCTGTATGGACAATTAATCGGCCCCTGTAACTCCCCGGTTCCTTTGCCTCCTCAAATCTAGTGACATTGGCCTCACTTCACTTCCATGACCCACAGTTATGGCTTCAGCATAGGTCTTGTCTTCACCCTGAACGTTTCTCCACCTCTAACATTTGAAATCTCCCCTTTTTACCATAGCCTTGTATCTTTCCATGTCTCTTAGTCGGTTATTCCAACTACATCCATTACTTGATCAGCTCCCCTTATCTTTAGTTTCTTCTCTATTCAACTTTAATTTCCAGAGTCATCACTTCAGCCACTCTCTTGCCGATGTCCTCGAGCTCCGTGATTCTTTGCACTTCTGTGTTCCTTGGCAAAACCCCAACCCTGATGATCCCAGATGTACACTTCCATGAGCCAGTGCCCAGGTTTCTCAGCTCACATTGGTGCCACTGCAAGTTCATGTTCTCCTACCTCGCCTGGGCTCTCAGCGCCATCAGCAGGGGAGAAGAATACAGTTGACCCCAAAACTGCAGAACCAGTAGTTAAAGCATCCCTTATTCTTTCTTTACTTCTCTCAATAGAAGAGGTTTCTGACCAAGTTTAATTCCATGGCAGTTAAAGGCAATAATTGGTAGGGGAGCAGGTTGACCCAGTCTGTATATATTTAATGAGAAAAAATTAAGAAATTAAATTTAATACAAATACAATATATACCTACGAAAACATAATAATCAACAGTGAAAGCTTGGTCCTTCAGCCCTTTGTCTGACAGTTTTGAATGTGTTGAGACCACAAGGTTGTGAGAAGAGAAGTAAGGAGCTAAGAACTTTTTTTTTTTTGGTGAGGAAAGTTGGCCCTGAGCTAACACCTGTTGCCAATCTTCCTCTTTTTGCTGAGGAAGATTGTCACGGAGCTAACATCTGTGCCAGTCTTCCTGTATTTTATCTGGGTTGCTGCCACAGCATGGCTTGACGAGCGGTGATAGGTCCACACCCAGGATCCAGGCCTGTGAACCCCGGGCTGCCGAAGTGAAGTGCACAAACTTAACCACTACGCAGTGGGGCCGGCCCCTGGAGCTAAGAACTTTTTGAAGGAAATATATATTGTGTTCATGGATGTTTTTATTTCAGTGATTGAGTGGAAAGTGTCGGTCTTTAGAACTAAACTAAAGAAGATCTAAAATTATAGCTAGGACCCTTCTAAAAAGCGCTGATCTGCTCCACATTGTGATTTGGATTATGAGTTGATTTGTAGGCCCAGCGATCCTTCAGCAGACCCGCTCTGAGAGGCGAGCACTGAAGACCTGCACCCCACCTTCATGAGGTGACATTCCTTCCCTGCTCTGTTTTCAGTTCTGGGATGACACCTATGTTATGTTACAGTTTACAATCGCTTTCACCTAACTTCTTATTAATCCGTATTGTCCCTGTGAGATCATGATTTCTGCAATGTTAGAAATTTTATATGAAGCTTGGGACTGAAAGCTAGGAGCACAGGGTTTTGAACCCCTGGCTATTTCTATTTGCCCAGGCTAAAGTTTAGGATACAAATTGCTATTGCAGTGAGAGTTACCCAGGCTGCTTCTTACTGAGTGAAATGCAGCTATTTAGTAAATTTGGAAAATTGAATATTTTTAATAATTTCATATATTTATTTATATTATATATAATATTAAATAATTTAATAAAATTTGAAAGTTAAATAAGTATATTGCAGAGACACTGAATCAGTGATTTCTAATGACAGATATCATTCTATATTCAAAATCAGTCTCCCAAGCTACTCAATATGCAGTACAGACGAGTAATATATAAATGGCTTTTACAAAGCTGCTTCATCCACAATGGACTGGTTAGGTGATAGATAACCTACTATTATAACGATTAACCCAACAATCTCTGTGGCTTAACACAATAAAGGTTTATTTCCTGCATGATCTTCTAGGTCATTCTAGGACCAGATTTTTGCCAACTAGTGGCTCTGCCATTCTCCCGGGAAAGGGTCAGCAAACTTTTCTGTAAAGGTCCAGATAGTAAACATTTTAGGCTTTCTGGGGCATATGGTCTCTATTGCACCTACTCAGCTATGCCATGGAGCACAAAAGCAGTCATAGACAATACGGAAACCAATTAGTGTGATTGTATTCCAATAAAACTTTTATTTATGGACACTGAAATTTGAATTTGATATAATTTTCATGTGTCACAAACTATTTTTCTTCTTTTGTTTTTTTCCAACTATTTATAATGTAACAACATTCTTAGCTTGCAGGTAGTACAAAAACAGGCAGTGGGCCAGATTTGGCCTGGAGGCCGTAGTTTGCCAACACCTGCTCTAGGGTCTCCTCCAAGGCCTCTGAGTCGTTCTCCGCATTCTCTGTATCCACGTGGTAATGAGGGATCTGGTGGGAAATTTTAGGGGCTAACCATAGGTACCACCCTACCCTCCTTCCCCTTTTCATTGACCAGAATTAGTCACAGGCCCTACCAGGAAACTAAGGGTCTGGAAAATATAGCCTTCCATGTGCCCAGGGGAAAATGAAATGATATGAGGGAGGAACAGCAATGTCTTTGCATTGGATAATTTTTCTACATTTTCCATTCTTCTTGCTTTTGCTTAAAATATTACTCCCTTTCCTTTTCTTTGCCCCAGGCTGGGTGGTTCAACTTCCCCAATTTCACCTATTTCAGTATAATCTTTCTTCAAATATTTTCTTCAAATGTCTTTATCTTGAAGCCTTTCTTGATTCATCCAACAAAATGTAATCTCTTTCCTTTGATTCACCAAAGAGATGTGACCTTCTCACATCATTTACTTTACCTTATAGGATGGATATCTGTGAACTTTTCTTTTTCCCACCACTGCATTATAAACTCCCTGAGGATTGGTACTATTCATATTTTTTATAACAGTTTTATTGAAATGTAACTCATAGACAATAAAATTCACCCTTTTGAAAAGTACAATTCAATGCAAAATGGAGCAGCTGCTAGGGAAAACAGTATGGCAGTTCCTCAAAAAATTAAAAATAGAATTACCATATGATCCAGTATATACCCAAAAGCATTAAAAGCAGGCACTCAAACAGGTATTTGTACACCCATGTTCATAGCACCATTATTCATGAAAGCCTAAATGTGGAAGCAACCCAAATGTCCATCAATGAATGAATGATAAACAAAATGCGGTGTGTATATATATAGATACACACCATGGGATATTATTTAGCTTTAATAAATTCTAGCATGTACTACAACATGGATGAACCTTGAGGATGCCATGCTAAGTGAAATAAGCTAGTTACAAAAGAATAAATTCTATATGATTCCACTTATATGAGGTCCCTAAAGTAGTTAAAATCATAGAGAGAGAATGTAAAATGGTAGTTGCCAGGGGCTGGAGGGAGGGAGGAATGGGGAGTTACTGTTTAATGGGTAGAGTTTCAGTTTTGCAAGATAAAAAGAGCTCTGGAGATGGATGGCGGTGCTGGTTGCACAACAGTGTAAATGTACTTGATGCCACTAAAGTGTATACTTAAAAATAGTCATGATAGTAAATTTTATGTGTATTTTACCACAATTCAAAAAAAATTTTAAATACATAGTGACAGTATCATCAAAAAAGAGTATACTTCAGTGGTTTTTAGATATTCACAAAGTTGTGCAACATTGCTGCAATCAATTTTAGAACATTTTCATCCCCTAAAAAGAAACCCAGTACCCATTAGCAGTCATGCATCATTGCCTTTCCCTGCAGCCCCTGGGAACCACTAATCTACACTCTGTCTCTGTGGCTTTGCCTATTCTGGACATTTCATATAAATAGAATCATACAACATGTGGCCTTTTGTGTCCACCTTCTTTAACTTAGCGTAAGTTTTCAAGATTTATCCATGCTATAGTGTGTATCAGTACTTCGTTCCTTTATATGGCTGAATAATATTCCACCGTATAGATATACCACATTTTGTTTATCCATTCATCAGTTGATGGACATTTGGTTTGTTTCTACGTGGCTATTTTGAATAATGCTTGCTCCGAACAAAGTTTTGTGTGAACGTAGGTCTTCAGTTCTCTTGGGGATATGTGTACACATACCTACCTACACACCTAGGAGTGGAATTGCTGGATCATATGGTAACTCCATGTTTAACATTTTGAGGAACTTCCAAACTGTTTTCCACAGCAGCTGCACCATTTTGCAATCTGCCAGCAACGTATTGGGGTTCCAATTCTCCACATCCTCACCAGAACTTGTTATTGGTAATCTTTTTAATTGCAGCTATCCTGGTGACATGAAGTGGTAGCTCATTGTGGTTTTGATTTGCATTTTCTTAATGACTATTGATTTTAAGCATCTCTTCATATGCATATTGGCCATTTGTATATCTTCTTTGGAGAAATGTTTATTAGACCCTTTGCCTAATTTGAAATTGAGTTATCTTTTTATTGTTGAGTTGTAGGAGTTCTTTATATGTTATGATACAAGTCCCTTATTAGATATATGATTTGCAAATATATTCTCCCATTATGTGGGTTCTTTTCACTTTATGGTGTTCTTTGAAGTATAAATGTTTTAAATTTCAATGATATCCAATTTATCTATTTTTTTCTTTTGTTGCTTGTGCCTTTGGTGTCATACCTAAGAAACCATTGCCTAATCCAAGGTCATGAAGATTTGCTCATAAGAATTTTATAGTTTTAGCTCTTACTTCAGTCTGTTATCCATTTTAGTTAACTTTTGTATATTGTGTGAGGTAGAGGTCTAACATCATTCTTTTGCATGTGGATATCCAGTTGTCCCAACACCATTTGTTGAAAAGACTGTTCTTTCCCTATTGAATTATCTTGGCACCCTTGTCAAAAATTGACTGGCCGTAAGTGTATGAGTTTATTTCAGAACTCTCAATTCTATTCCATTGATCCATATATCCATCATTATGCCAGCACCACACTGTCTTGAATACTGTAGCTTTGTCATAGGTTTTGAAATTGGGAAGAGTGAGTCCTCTAACTTCATGCTTCTTTTGCAATATTGTTTTTGGTTATTCTGGATTCCTTGTATTTCCATATGAATTTTAGGATCAGCTTGTTAATTTCTGCAAAAATCAGTTGGATTTTTTAATAGAGATTGCGTTGGATCTGCAGATCAATTTGGGTAGTATTGCCATCTTAACAATATTAAGTCTTCCAATCCGTGAACATGGGATGACTTTCCATTTATTTAGATTTTCTTTAATTTCTTTCAACAATATTTTCTGGCTTTCAGTGTACAAGTCTTGTAATTCTTTCTTAAATTTATTCAGAAGTATTTTATTCTTTATGATGCTGTTGTAAGCAAATTGTTTTCTTAATTTCATAGTCAGATTGTTCATTGCTAATATATAGAAATGTAATTGATTTTTGTATATTGATCTTGTATCCTGCAACCTTGCTGAACTTATTAATTCTAATAGTGTGTGTGTGTTTGTGAATCCTACCCATTGTTATATCCCCTGGAGCACTTAACACAGTGCCTAGCTTTAACTAACATTCAATTTATTTGTATTCCTTGAATTGATCTCTTTAAATGTCATGTTGCCACTGAGCCTTCCATCCACTGAGTAATTTTTTAGTTCCTAAGACCATTGACTCATTCTTTCTCTTCTTTCCTCTTATCTGCAGGCTTGGGAACAATGGGCCGGGGCATTGTCATTTCTCTTGCAAAGGCCAAGATCCCTGTGATTGCTGTAGAATCAGACAAGAAGCAGCTAGAAATTGCAAACAAGATAATAACCTCTGCCTTGGAAAGGGAAGTGTCCAAAATGCAGCAGAGTGGCCACCCTTGGTCAGGACCAAAACCCAGGTTAACTACAGCTATGAAGGAGCTTAGTGATGTAGATTTAGTCATTGAAGCTGTGTTTGAGGAAATGAACCTGAAGAAGAAGGTCTTTGCTGAACTGTCAGCCGTGTGCAAGCCAGAAGCTTTTTTGTGCACCAATACTTCAGCCCTGGACGTTGATGAGATTGCTTCTTCCACTAATCGTCCTCACTTGGTCATTGGCACCCACTTCTTCTCACCAGCTCATGTCATGAAGTTGTTAGAGGTTATTCCCAGCCGGTATTCTTCCCCCACTACCATTGCAACTGTTATGAACTTATCAAAAAAGATTCAAAAATTTGGAGTAGTTGTAGGCAACTGTTTTTCATTTGTTGGGAATCGAATGTTGAATTCTTATTACAATCAGACATATTTCTTGTTAGAAGAAGGCAGTAAGCCAGAGGAGATAGATCAGGTGCTGGAGGAGTTTGGTTTTAAATTGGGACCTTTCAGAGTGTCTGATCTTGCTGGGTTGGATGTGGGTTGGAAATCTCGAAAGGGGCGAGGTCTTACGGGACCTACGTTGCCTCCAGGAACTCCTGCCCGAAAGCGAGACAATAGGAGATATTGCCCAATTCCTGATATGCTCTGTGAATTAGGACGATTTGGCCAGAAAACAGGTAAGGGTTGGTACCAATATGACAAGCCTCTGGGCAAGATTCACAAACCTGATCCCTGGCTTTCCAAATTTTTGTCACAGTACAGAGAAACCTATCACATTGTACCACGTATTATTAGCCAGGATGAGATCCTTGAGCGCTGCTTGTATTCACTCATCAATGAAGCATTCCGCATTTTGGGAGATGGGATAGCTGCTAGTCCAGAGCACATTGATGTTATCTATTTACATGGGTATAAATGGCCAAGGCACAAGGGTGGGCCCATGTTCTATGCTTCCACAGTGGGGTTGCCCACAGTGCTAGAGAAGTTGCAGAAATATTACAGACAGAATCCTGATATTCCCCAACTGGAGCCATGTAACTATCTGAAAAAATTGGCTTCCCAGGGAAACCCTCCTCTGAAAGAATGGCAAAGCTTGGCAGGACCCCCCACCAGTAAATTGTGATTCAGCCTTCCAGGTTATGCCTCACATGCTGGCATCAGGTAATACTCACTGAATTTCATTGAAATTAAACCAAAGATCCAAAGTAAGATTGCTCTGAAATACAAAGCCAAAGAAAGAATCTGTGAGCTAAACCTCCTCTTTGGGTCTTCTGTCTGTTGATTCTAATGGGTCAAGTCTTTAGGAGTGTACTTCCTGTGCCTCTGAATCTGTCCCTATCAGATCAATTATTTTAAAACCAATGAATAAACTTGTGTTGATACCATAATAACTAAGGAGAGAGCCTGAGGAATAAGTTGAGGTTTCCACGTGCGTTGATCATGGGAGAAATATGTCATCAATTAATAACTGATAAATGCAACTAAGTCATAAGTTCATTTTGACCCCTTTCAACCTCACACACATAGCACTGATAGCAAATCTTATGGATCCTTCATTCAACATTCATGGTGCACTCCCTGAACATTTTGCACAGCACTTGGCAGACCTGGAGTCCAGAGGGGCCGTTAATCCAGCATGGAAGCCTGTGACAAAGTTCAATCCCTAATCTCGGAGGTGGAGTGGAGATAGTTGGCAGGGTAGAGTCAGCAGTGAAGGTCTCCGTGAGTGAGCATGGAAAGCTTCCCAAGTAGAGGCAGAGGTATTAACTAGAAAGAGAGGCAGGGTATCAAAGGCAGATCAGTGTTAAAGTTGTAAGCAAAACACGGTTGGGTAGTGGTGAGGGAGCCAATTACTTCTGACCAGAATGGGAACTCAGAGTAGCTTGGCAAGTCATGCTCAGTATATTACTTTTATCCAAGGCCCAGCCACATGTGCACAGCTGTTCTTGCTACTTGCCAGGGGCTCAGTAATGTTTGCTGATAATTTCCTCAAGACCAGAGGATGGCCACAACCTGGCCTTTTCTATTTGTGGAGAAGTAATAGAAAGCGGTAAGTTGTTGACTTAGTATCAGAAGGGATCTTAGAGAACATCTAACCTCCTCCGATTCTGTGATAGAGTAATGATGCCAGTTTCCCTGTCATGATAAGCCTTTTTGATGTTGGGTATGGAAATGGTTGAATCTTGAAAAACCTAAAATTACTACAAAACAAATTTTGTATAATTTTCTTATAAGAGTTCTTCTCTTTTTACTTTTTGTATGGTTAAAAGTTGAGAGGCTGCTCAACATAAAAACTTGTACACAAATGTTTATAGCAGAATTATTCATAATAGCCCCAAATTGGCAACAACCTAAATCTCCATCACCGGATAAATGGGTAAACAAAGCGTAGAAGAGCCATACAATAGAATATTTGCCATGAAAAGAAATGAAGTACTGATACATGCTACAACATGGTGAACCTTGAAAAGATCATGCTAAAGGAAAGAAGCCAGTCACAAAGGGCCACATATTATGTGAACATTTATATGAAATGTCCAAAATAAGCAAATCTATAGAGTTAGCGGATTAGAGGTTGCCTAAGGCTGGAATGATTGCGGGGTGTGGAATGGGGAGTAAATGGGTAAAGGGTTTCTTTCTGGGTGGATGAAAATGTTCTGAAATTATTGTGATGAAGATTACATAACTCTGAATCTATTAAAAATCATTGAGTTGTATATTTTAGATGAGTGAATTGTATGGTATATGAATTGTATCTCAATAAAGTGGTTAATAAATAAATAAATAAACAAATGGGCCCAAGTTGTTCTTCAGTGTGATGTAAATGAACTGTTTTCACAATATTTCCACCTGTGAACCCAAACAAAACTATCAAAATTTCTCTTCTGATAGAGAAATCTTGAATGAATGTAGTATAAGTTTTCCATTGTAAAAGACAAAAACCAAAAACCTGTAGCTTATGCCTTGACTTGTTCCATTTAGAATATTTTTTGAGATGTATATTGCTGAATTTTATATAAATTTGTCCTTGAAATTAAAGACATCAATATAAAAGATTCCTGAAAATAGTGACTTTGTCTCCAAAGTGACTGATTTTCAATTTTTTTGTGTGCTTTTTCTCCCCGAATTCCCCCAGTACATAGTTGTATATTTTAGCTGTGGGTCCTTCTAGTTGTGGCATGTGGGACACCGCCTCAACGTGGCCTGACGAACAGTGCCATGTCCGTGCCCAGAACCTGAACCAGCGAAACCCTGGGCCGCTGAAGCAGAGTGTGAGAACTTAACCACTTGACCACGGGGCCGGCCCCTGATTTTCAAATTATTTTTAACACACACGCACATTAATTTTTTTTCTTTAGACCTTGAGCAAATTTTATTTTGAGTTCTTAAAACTCATTTTCACCCTACACTATCCTCTAGATTGGAACTTTGAAACTAGAGTGTCTATGAATAGATTTTATAAGTCAATAATCTCTGAAATATTATGCTAACATTTATATATATATATATATATATATATATATATATATATATATATATGTATGTATCTGAGAGCATTTCTAAGAGGTACCATCTCTTACTTCATATTCTCAAAAGTGTCTATGACCCAATAAAGTTAAGGACCAAAACTATATATAAAATGGGAAGAAGAAATCTGAGTTCATTTATTCTTATTTTGTATCAAAGGAGGCAAAACTAATTCTAATTTGTCAGGTCCTACATACAACAGCGGTTAATATGATGAAACCTTTCCAGGATATCCTATCCCATCCTTGAAAATGCACTTACTTAAAAGGCTTATTTTGTTGCTGTTGTAGTTGTTAATAATTTAAAAACTATCTTTTTTAAAAAAAATAGCTTCTGAATGACATTTTAAAAGTGTGTTAGAATGGTAATTGACTCTGATGAGAAGTATATATTAGAAGCACCATTGAAGCTTTGCCATGATATTCCAGCTTTAAAGATGAGACTAATAATGTTCCTTAAATCAGTAAAGCCACTGTGCAACTGCAGTTGCTATCTACTCATTCATTTCCAGCAGGAACAGGTGTGCATGAGAGAGATAAAGTGAGGGATCCTAAACTCCCCTGATTAATGATGGTACAGAATTGTGTATGCAAATCATACTCCACAGCACTGCAGGAACCTGGAATTTCTAGGGTCTTACATTTGTCTTTAAAATAGACACCTAGAAATCAGAACTATTGCAGGCTTACTAGATTGTCTGAACCTTCTTGGTAGCCATTGATGAGATTAATATAAATCAAGTTCCCTGGACTAGGTTTAAAGACAGCTTTCTGCAATAAGAGAGCAGTCTTTGATGATTCTGGGGACCACCAGTGCCATGGGCTTATTTTGCCAGCTTATACATATTTTGAGGTTAACAGACAAGTTACAATGCTTCCTTGCAGGACAGCCACATTACACAGCTCTGAGACACCATTCATACTGTGCTCCAAGGGGTTGCCATTCACATAGAACCAATGTGAATAGCACCCCCTAGAGTTGCGCAACACCCAATATTGTTTCTGGGCACTCTATGTAGACGTTTCAAGCCAAAAATTCTTTTTTTCTGGTTATTGCTATAAGTATCTTTCCAAACAAAAGTTAGTTGACAGCAGTAGAGGGAAAGTCTCCACTTAGATCAGTCTCTCCAATCGGACCAAATTTTTAGAAAGAGAATACATCTTCTCTGTTCTTCTTAGTACTTTTTTTCTAGTACCCTCAGAAAGAGGAACATGAGAGAGATGAACAGAGCTTTTAATTCTTGTCCAAAGATTTCCAGGGCATTTCATTTGTAATATTTATTTGTTCTCTTTCACCAAACCTAAAATAGCTTGGCAGAATGAGTGCCTAAAAGCATTTGATAAGATGACATGAGCAGAGCTGATGCAATCTATCTTGTGCACATCTTTCACAGTTAGGGTTATTCCACCTTCTCTAAGAGGAAGCAGTTGCTAATTCTAACCGTAATGTGAGATCCTTAGGATGGGGTGGGGCAAAGCCTTCTCCAGCCAAATCATAAGTGCACTTGGATTCCCAAAGCCTGCTGAGGCCTAGAGAGTTGCTGATTTATAAATTCTGGCAGAGACTCTTGGCTGTCCCCCAGTGTTTCTCTTCTTCTGTAGTAATAAACTTTGCAATTTTTAGCTGAGCATTTGGTTGTTCAGAATAAATAATATATTTGTCAGCTTCTCTTGCATCCAGTTGTGAACATGTGACTAATCCCTAGACAATGGGATGTAAATGGAAGTGTCACATGGCAGTTCTTGGGAACCTACCTTAAGACTCAGATGATTTTCATCCTTTTCCTGTTTCCTTTTTGTCCCTTCTTCCATCTTGCTGCCTAGAACGCAGATGGGATGGCTGCACTTTAACCCACTATACTGGACCACGAGGTCAAAGGCCGTGCCCTAGGAATAGCAGAATGGAGAGCTCTAAAGAGCTTGGTCTTTCAGGACCTCATGGAGCAGAGTTGCTATTCTGCTTCCAACAGTCATTTGTGTGAGAGAGAAATCAACTCCTGCCGTGGGTAAGCCAGTGTCATTGTACGTCTTTAATCACTCACAGATGACTCTAATCCTACCTAATGCAGGTGGGAATCCAAGAATTCCAAAAAAGTGGGGCTTTTTCGTTTTTCTCGGTGCCATACGGAATTCTGATGCACAGGCAGGCCTGAGAATCCAGTCTCATTAAACAAGATTTCTTGTTTTAAGAAAAGAAATTTTTGCCCATGTGATGTGTTTTTCAACTTGATGTTGAATTGCTCATAAGTTTTATGCTGTTTCACGTAAAATTTCTGTAGGCAGTTCGTGGAGACACCACTAAGAATCTGAGAATAGGATGTTCTCCTAAATGTTTAAATGAACATTTAGTAGGACACAGTCTCACAGGCCTACTTGAACCTTGGGTTGACTCCTACTTAATCAGAGATAAAAACACTCACAAAGAAAGTATGGATTATCAGAAGGAAGGGTTGACAACAGTGGCACAAAAGAAGGGTAATTTGAGAAGCATTGTCTCTTGGCACTGACCAAAAGGGAGGTGCTGAATCTGGGGTGACAAAAATTTTGTTCAGTAGATCAGAGATCTCCAAAATGGAGTGCCTCTACCCAAAGGACTGTGAAAGATGATTCATAGAGGTACAGGCAGAAAATACTACAACTACCTTTGCTACTTATTTTTGTCTAAAAAATAAGAAATTACTCCTTATTAATATTTCATGTACATATGGACACTGTTGGCCTCATCAGGTAGCATCTCAGACAGCCATACGTCAGGAATGAAGTATCCTGAGGGAAGACGGTGAGTTCCAAAATGTAGAGAGGTTGACAGTGGCATCCTCCCTCTTTCTTTTGTTTTCAACATATTGAGAAATATTGCAAATCATGTATGCTGGGGTAAGTGGATATTTAGATTAATTATTTAATTTCACTAAATTGACCCTCTCAAAGATCTCTTGAAAGAAAACACCCTTAAAAAGATTCCTTGAAGGAAAGCACAGTTGAAGATAATGCAAATAATGCAGGCCAAGGTGAGCAGCAAGAAAATGGCAGAGCTGGTAGTTCTGGTATCAGCTTTTTCCCAGGTGCATTACAAGGTAGTTGATTTAGTCAGATCTCGTAAGAAGTCAGAAAAAAACCTTGAAATTGTCAAGAAGATTATTAGAAATATTGATTTATAACATACCACTCATGATGAGGCTTGCCCTACGTGTGTATTGTGTCTTATGATATTAGTTAATAATAATATGAAACCATCATCTACTAGCAAAATGTTTTAATATATTATTTCACCATTATCTCACTTATGAATTTCTCCTTTATTGTGTTTTATAATGTACATATATATCAATATAATAGTAAAAATACATAATTTATAAACATCCTATGTATTAGAGACGTATACTAAAAATTGATGTGCTGTACTACCCAGATTCTTTTCTAGGAATGAAAGATTTATTCTCCCAGCTGCTAAGAGTGCTGCCAGAAAATGGCTTTCTTTGGGGATTGCCTTGCTCAAGGTCACACCTTCTTCCAAAGGTGGCTTGCATCCAAAGACTGCTCAACATAGGAGTCTAAGTGCCTGATCCTCCTGCCCCAACTCTGATGGGCTGACATGCCTCTAGAGCTCCTGGTGATGTTGTGCCGAGGCTTTCACTGGTATTGCATTGCAGCTCAACTTCTCCCCCTGCTCATTCCAGCTTCCTTCCCCTCTCCTTCACAGGTGTTAATCTCAAGAGCACTCTCTGAACATTCTGCACGCTAATCTCCATTTCAGATCCTGTTTCCCAGAGAACCCAAACTGAACAATGGAGACGCATGCTCAAAAATATTTGGAAACCATCGATCCATATGCTATCAACTCTTTGGTATTTGTTTAGTAGACTTCCTTTGATCTCCCATGCCATCAATTTTTGTAAATATTCTATGTGTGCTAGAAAAGGATGTGCATTCTCTGTCTGATGAACATGGGATTCTAAGAGCAAGCTTGTTAATTATGTTAGTCAAGTTTCCTGTATAGCCTTGCTGATGTTTTATCTGTAGTCCTTTCTCCTCCTATGGTCAGGGTCAATTACTCCTGCCAGAGTGTTGACTCCTTTCCCGGGCACAAAAAGCCAGAACTGAATGGGTGGCACACACAGTTTTAAAAGGCTCTTACTGTGTCCCGGGTAGAAGCGTTTCCCCTTCAGAAACCAGGATTTCTAGATCTCAGGGTGTTAGTTGCTGGTACAAGAAGCAAAATTCCCCAAGTGCGTCATTGGCAGGGATGATAAATGGGGCCATTTCTACTTC